CTCCTCTTTTAAAAAATGGTACATCCCACTATACAGAAGGAGGTCACAGTGCCTCTGGATCCTGACGGTGGCATATTTCACAGCTGGGGATACTGCTTCTGCCCACTTATAAGGTGACAAAATAGGCTGTCAGCTTTGAATGGGACTTAGATTAGGGAAGGGTTCTTCAGAAGATGCAGGCTGTGGTGAAAACAGTGCTGCTACTTGGATGATCCAACCGAACTGACCCTGTGGTATTAGAAGTATCAGATGTGGAAGAAGGTTCCATGTGGAGTTTGCAGCACATGTGGGAGAATCACAATGTAGAGCCCTGTGGTTCTGCAGCAAAGCCACACCATTTTCAGTGGAAGGTATAAGCCTTTGGAATAACAACTTTGGGTGTTCTAGTGGACCCCGGTTAAAACAGACCACCTGACAGAAAGACGCCGTGTGACGGCTCATCCAGAACAGCCCATTGTGTGGTAAGTTCTATCAGGTTTGCTGAGTCATAACTCAGGTGTGGCCAAAAACTCCCTCTTGTAATACGAAAGTGGTGTACCCAGAGCTGAGCGTGAGTGAGAGAAAAAACCACGAGTGAGTTGCATGGGCAATGTGGGGAGCATTCCTGCAAAGACATCTGTGGCCTCACTCCTGGAAGCTAAGAAAAAGCAGAGACGTTACTTTGCCAACAAAAATCCATCTAGTCAAAGCTATGGTTTTTCCAGTAGTCACGTATGGATGTGAGAGCTGGACTATAAAGAAAGCTGAGCGCTGAAGAATTGATGCTTTTTAACTGTGGTGTTGGAGAAGATTCTTGAAAGTCCCTTGGACTGCAAGGAGATCCAAACAGTCCATCCTAAAGGAGATCAGTCCTGGGTGTTCATTGGAAGGACTGATGCTGAAGCTGAAACTCCAATACTTTGCCCACCTCATGCAAAGAGCTGACTCATTTGAAAAGTCCTGATGCTGGGAAAGATTGAGGGCAGGAGGAGAAGGGGACGACAGAGGATGAGATGATTGAATGGCATCACTGACGTGATGGACATGAATTTGAGTAAACTCCGGGAGTTGGTGATGGACAGGAAGGCCTGGGGTGCTGCAGTCCATCGGGTCACAGAAAGTCGGACATGACTGAGCAACTGAACTGATGAATATGTTATTTGGTAAATGGTAACTGTGAGGCATCTCTGATTGACCATTTTTAGCTCCTAAGTTTCCTGTTGGGCAAGATTGTTATAGTATATAAGTTTAAAAGTTTCTGAAGACCACATTTCAGCTCAATAATTTGCTAAAAGATTAGTAGAGCTCAGAAAACCGTTATGCTCATGCCATGGTTTATTACAGTGAAAGAATACAGATTAAAATCAGCAAATGAATATGACTTATTCTAGGTGTGCAAGGCTGGTTCAACATCCAAAGCCTTAATGATGTGATGCATCCCATGAACTGACCAAAGACGTAAAGCCATATGATCATATCAATAGATGCAGTAAAATCATTTGACAAAATCCGGCACCTATTTGTAAAAACTATCAGCAAACTAGAAATATAGGGCAATTTTCTCAACTTGATAAAGACCATCTACAAAAATCCTATAACTAATATCATACTTCATAGTGAGAAACCTGATGCTTTCCTGCTAAAATCAGAAACAAGGCAAGGATGTTTGCTTTCCCCACATCTGACCAACACCACAAACATTTTTTCTCAATCTGTGGCTTGTCTATTCATTCTTTCTCTATCTCTCTCTTTCTTTAACTTCTAACATATTAATAGCTACATTAAATATAAATGGCTTAAGTATATCAGTTAAAGGGCAGAGATTGCAGAGTAGATTAAAACATAGCCTAGTTATAAACTGTCTTTAAAAACTCAGTTCAAATATACCTTTATAGGCAGATTGAAGTGAAAGGATGGAAAAAAATACACATCATGAAGACACTGATAAAAGGAAAATGTAAGTGCCTATCTTAATACCAGATAAAGTTGACTTCAGAGCAAAGAAAGTTACCACTAACAGAGCTACTATATAATGATAAAAAGGTGAATCCATAAAAAAAAAAAGTAATCCTAAATGTTGCAAGCATAAACAACAAAGTGGCAAAGTACGTGATGCAAAACCTGATAGAACTAAAAGGAAAAATAGACAAATTCACAATTCCAGCTAGAGACTTTAGTTTGCCACCTTCAATAATTTATAGAACAACTATACAGACAATCAGCTTCAGAAAAGAAGAACTAAATAAAGTCATCAACCAACAGCATTTAATGAAAATCTGTAGAACATTCCACTCAACAACAGGATACATGTTCCATGTACGCACCACAGAACTTGCCTCTCATATCAGGTTCTGGGTTTTTCTACCTGGGAAGCTCTCATTTAGTTGGTGAGATGCTGTTTTTTTCTCTGGTACTTCCAACCTCCCCTTAAATTGTCACTGATATTTTCTTGTTAATTTCTGGATCTTTGCCTTCCCAGGCCATAGGAAAGTTCTGAGGGTCTCCATACTCTTGGTTTCATGACTGAAAGTAAAAATAGCTCAATACAAATTTATATTTGTTTTTCTTCAGTTCTACTTCGTCCTTCCAGAACATTCTGTCCTCTTTATCTCACTTCCTTTCTTTCACACTGAGGCAGTTTCACATCACTATGTGTCTTGCCTCTTATCACACCATCCCCTCATCATGTAATGTGTCACAGAACAACATGGGGTTTGATTTTCTCTTGTTTTTTCTTTTTTTTTTTGTCTTGTTTTGATTTGGCTTTTTGTCCATTGAATTTTTGAATCTCAGTTTCCCCTCTGTTAAACATGTAACTGGGGCAAACTGCTCAAATTCCCGAAACTTTGTCATTTATAAAATGGGAATAATAGTGACTCTTGGTGGGATTGCGGTGTCCTCTTAACTACTTTTCCTTTTGTCCTTCAAACTCTAAAATTCTTTGTTTTAATGAATGACGTTGATATAGTTGATTGGGAGACTGGTCCTGGGGAAGAGGTTTACTGAAGATTCTGGAGGTGACCTTGGGGAGATTTCTGGGCACAGGGACCAGCAGGAACAAAACTCAGAGGCAGCCTCAAGTCTGGTGCTTTCAGAAGCCCGAAGAAGAGCATGTTTGGTACTTTTTTGTTGACTTCATACTTAGAACTCGGTGAGGAGGGAGGTAAGGGTAGACGGATGAAAAAGATTTGGAAAGCACTAGTGATGGGAGAAAGGACAGATATAATTCAAGGGACAGCAAGGAGCAGAGGGAACGCAGATCTTCCAAAACAAAAGAGATCATATGATGTTTTGGCATAAAAAGATTATTTCAGAAAGTTTCTTAATCCGCATTCTTAATACGTAACCTGCTTTTATATCTCCAGATCCTATCCTGGATCTTGATCATATGGATGCATTGTTTCATGTGGTTGTAGCTTTAGCAAAACAAGTTTTGTGTTTTCTGGAAAGATTAATACATAACCCTGATGGCAGTCTAACCTTTTAGTCAGAACATATCCATTTTAGACTATTTTCCATGTTGACTGTTGACCAAAACAACCAAGCCTAACTTTTGTCTGTCCTGAGAAGTGTCCCATTCTCTGCAACCCCAGGGACTGTAGCCCGCCAGGCTCCTCTGTCCATGGGATTCTCCAGGCAAGAACACTGGGGTGGGCTGCCATGCCGTCCTCCGGGGGGGCTTCCCCACCCAGGAATTGAACCCAGTTGTCCTGCACTGCAGGCAGATTCTTTACCATCTGAGCCACCAGGGAAGCCCTAGTGTCTCATTATTTGAGTCACAGAAATTCTGCAAAATAAAATCAATTTAACACAAGCCTTCTTTAAGGTAGTCTAAAGTGAAAGTGAACGTCGCTCAGCCGTGTCCGACTCTGTGCGACCCCATGCACCATACAGTCTATGGGAATCTCCCGGCTAGAAAACTGGAGCGGGTAGCCCTTCCCTCCTCCAGGGCGTCTTTCCGACCCAGGGGCTGAACCCAGGGCTCCCGCATTGCAGGTGGACTCCTTACCACCGGAGCCAGCAGGGAAGCCCAAGGTAGCCCAGGCAGGCCAGGAAACCCTCATTTGCTATCACCTCTCCAATCGCTGCGCCCCTTTGCACGGGGTCTCAACAGAGAGGCTGCTGCGTGCTGAGTCGCTCAGTCGTATCCGACTGCGTGGCCCCATGGGCCGTAGGCCGCAGGCTCGTCTATCCCGGGGTCCTCAAGCCAGGAACACCCCGGCGGGCTGCCGGCCGGGGTTGAGCCGTGGCGGGGCCGGCAGGCGCGCGCTCGGCCGGCAGGGGGCGTGGGGCCCCGGGCCCGAGCCCGGGGGCGTGGCCCCGCGTCCTTGACTGACAGCGGAGGATGCCGGCGAAGATGCGGGAATGCGGCCTCAGCGGCGAGAGCGTGCAGACTGTGAGTGTGCCAGGCGCTGCGGGCCCCGGAGCTCGCGGCGCGGACAGCGATCACACTGCACTAAAAAAAAAAGAAAGAAAGAAAGAAAAAAATCCCTTTTGGGGAGGGAGCCTGCCAAGTTGAGGATGCTGGCAGCGGCGGTCCCGGGGCCGTGTCCTGGTGTGTGGGTGTGTGGGGAGGGGGGGCGGGGGGGGGGGTCGCTCCTCCGCGTCTCGGGACCGCGGAGCCCCTCGCAGGCGAGGGTTTGCCCGAGCGCTGGGCTCGGGAGGGCCGGCTCCTTCCCGAGGCGGCGGCGCCAAGCCGCAGGGAGGGGGAGCTCTCAGCCCGCGCGGCGGGAGGGCGGGGGGGCGGCGGGGGCCGCGGGGCGGGGAGTAGAGCCCGGCCAGCCGCCCCGAGCGCCGCCGCCCGCCGGATCCCGCCGGCGCCCGGTGCGAGGGCTGGAGCCCCGGCCGCGCGCCCGTGTGCATGAGGCCCCGCGACCTCGCGGGGCGCGCGATCGGAGCCCGGCGGTCGGGCTCTCGGGGCCCCGGCGGACGCGCGGCGGCGGCGCGGCCCGCCGCCCGGGGCTGAGGAGGCCAGGGGCACCGGGGCTCGGGGCCGGGCCCCGCGGGCGGCCGGGCGCGCCATGCTCCTGGCCTCGGCCGTGGTGGTCTGGGAATGGCTGAACGAGCACGGGCGCTGGAGGCCCTACAGCCCCGCGGTGAGCCACCACATCGAGGCGGCGGTGCGCGCCGGCCCGCGCGCCGGCGGCAGCGTGGTGCTGGGCCAGGTGGACCGCCGGCTCGCGCCCTACATCATCGACCTGCACTCCATGAACCAGTTTCGCCAGGACACGGGTGAGCCGGCCGCCCCCGCCCCGCCCGCACCTCCCCCGCCGGGGGGCCCCTCCGGACCACGGGGCCCCCACAGGCGGCCGAGGAGGGGGCGCAATGCGCCCCCGCTCCGCGATCCTCTTATGATACCTCCGGCAATAAACGTCCGTGCAGGTCTGGTTAGGCCGGCCGACTTTACCCTCGCCCCTAAGAAAGCCCTTCACGCCCGCCCCCTTTAAACGCTCGGTACCCAAGTCCGCTCTTGTAGGAACCGAGGGGCCGCGGCAGCATCCCGGCCGGTGGGCAAGTCTACCTGCCCGTCTTCGCCAGCATCACGTGGGCTGAGCCTCCGTTGCCTCGGGCACCCTGGGGCCTGCCCCCCGCTTCCCCGGTGGCCCACCTGGCCGCCTCGAACCCTCCCGGGGGCATGCCCTCCCCAGGGCCGCGTCTTGGGGGTGGGCACCGGGCGCGGGGAAGGGTGGAGATTCCAGGGAGGCCGGCGCTGTGGTCGAGCCTGCGAAGGGAGAGGCCTCCCCGGGGAGACCGATGGACTGGGGGGCTGCCAGGGCCGGGCACGGCCTGGCGGCCGCGGGGCGGTAAACGCCTCTGCTCGGGCGCTCCGAGGGTGGAAGCAACAGGCCCGCGCAGATGGACTGGGGACGGGGAGGGCCGCCGCTCCGGAATGCCGGCGGGGAAGCCGAGCGTGTTTGTCCCTGGGGGCGGAGGCGGCCGGGCGGCGCATTCCTGCAAGGAAACTGTCCCCAGCTTCCTCCCACAAAGGTCCCCGATGGGGGACACATGAACTCCCATCTACTGGTGAGAAGCAAGTCGCCGCTGAGGTCACTACCAACCCGGCTTCCCAGCCCGAGTGAGGATGGCGATCAGGGTGCCAGGTCCTTGGCGCGAGGGCGGGGAAGCTGGGGAGACCTGCCTCTCTGCGAGGGCCCGGGCCGGGCTCAGCTGGTCTGGGACGCATCTATCCCTGAATAGCCTCTCCAGGGAGGTGGTGGTGTTTCTGGGAGGCGTTTCTGGAATTCTGGCTGGGTTTTCCCGGCGAGTGTGACTGCTCAGTTCAGTTCAATCGTGCAGTCATGTCCCACTCTTTGCCACCCCATGGACTGCAGCCTCCCAGGCCTCCCTGACCCCCCGGAAAGGCAGGTGTCACGGGAGGAGGGACCGGAGAGGGGACGGGAGAGTCCCAGAGGGTCAGAGAACAGCTGCCCGAGTAGGGCATGTCCGCCCGCCTTGGAAAGCCCCCACGTCCTGAGCGTTAATTAGGACGGTCATGGGAAAGGGGTGTCTTTCCACCCCCGTCTTCATCTGTAGCCATGACTCCCAACAAGCTCGCTGCCAAGGACTTTGCAGACACTCGCCTATTGAGGGAAGCCTTCTGGGGAAAGGATTCCAGAAGTGTTAGCATCTGGGGCGGCTTCAGCCCTGGTGAGAGAGGGGGGAGGGTGGAGCTGTGAGAGACTGGGGGAGGAGGGGATAAAGAGGGAAGTGGAGAGACTGGGACAGAGGAGAGTGGGGAGACTGGGAGAGAGGGAAGCGGGGAGACTGGGGCAGAGGATCGTGTGGCCTGGGGGGAATCAGGAGAAGTTAACTGTGGACTTCGCGTAGTGGCTGGAGAGGTGTAGCCCTGTCGGTGGGGCCAGAGCGGGGCTGAAGGTCAAGACCCCAACCCGACAGGGGACTCCAGTCCAGCTCAGAATTCACGGGCAGGTGTTAGCTGTTCAGTTGTCATTGTTGAGTCACTAAGTCATGTCTGAGTCTTTTGCAACCCATGGACTATAGTCCACCAGGCTCCTCTGTCCCTGGGATTTTCCAGGCAAGAACACCAGAGTGGGCTGCCCTGCCCTCCCCCAGGGGGTCTTCACCACCCAGAGGTCAGACTTGTGTCTCCGCATGGGAAGGGCGGTCCTTTACCTCTGAGCCACCAAGGAGGCCTGTGAGATGGCCTGTTTCAGATTAAATCTCAGCAGCTGGACGTAGTGACCGAAAGGTCCCGGGCCTGGCCTTTGGAAAGGAGGAACGCTTACTCGGTGTTCAGGGATGTCTGAGGTGCGCCTGGCAAGGGTCCTTTGTACAGAGGTGAAGTCTGGAGGAAACTAGGTGGCTAGACAGACCCTCCTTCCCCAGGGCTGACCACTCTTCCCTGACAACCAGCTGACCACTGCCTGGTTAGACCTGAGCTGGCCCTGGATCCTTTTTCTAACTGCCTTGGGCTACTTGTTCCATTGTTCTCTTCCTTTTAGAGACTGCTTTGGTTTCACCCACTCATGCTAAGGGTCGTCGGCCAACCCATCCTCCGAGCCAGACCTGGCACAGAAGGCCCTGGGCTGGATTCCCAGGAGTGCTGGGTCTGTCGGGGAGCTCGCCAAAGCAGAATAGCATCTTGGGGTGTCTGCAGCCCCCCTCCTCTGTTTTCTCTGCCAACGGACACACAGTTCCTCTCCATATAGCTCATGGATGAAACCATGACAGTGTAGGACCTGGAACCCGCTGGCTCCCCAGCAACCTCGGCCAAGCCCTGCAATGTTTAATTAAAGCAACGACTGTTCCCAAGCCACAGTTTGAAGCTGGGAACCAGACACATCTCCATAAACAAAGGGGAGCTGGAAGCCCCTTGCCCAGAGGCGATTCCTCTTTTTTTCTTGTTGTTGTTGTTGTTGCCTCCCCTCTGTGGGGACGTTTCCTGACATGGGAGCTTTGTTTTTTTCTTTTTTTTCTTCAGAAGTTGCCTGCCTTGCTGCCAAGTAAGTCCTCAGCATCTCCACTCCCCCAGCTCCAGCCTCATCCAGTCTGTCTCCAAGGAGAGCGCTGGGGGCCCCAGACACCTCGCCCACCTCTGTTTGCCCTGGGCCCTTCTCTTCCCCGACTCTGACCTTATTTGAATTCAGAGTCAGTTTTCCTCGAGGTGGAGGGAGAAGGAGGAAAAAAACAGGCAGGTGGAGGTGAAGGAATCTTGCTGCTTCCCAAAGCCTTGGCTGGGTCCTCTCTACCGGCTGACCATTCGCCTTGACCCGGCTGACCTGTTTCTGTTTGTAGGCAGCGGCTGGAACTTCATCCCCTGTATCTTCCAGCATCACTGTCACCTGTAAGTTTCAGTGGACCCAATCATTACCATTGAGTCCCTTGACTGCTTAAGCGTCATCCGTAGAATGAAGGGCAGCCTTGTGGTTCCTTCTGGCTCCCTGCCTCCCATCATGCAGGTCAGCAGGTGGATGAGTCTGGAGCCTGCACCACCGAAGATGCTGATGAGAAGTAACAGGGTGTGAGGGAGTGTTTTCCAGGCAACGCTGGCCTCTTCTATGTCTTTAACACAGTGAGAAAGGTCAGATGGAGCGTGAATCAAGGGTTTGGTAGAAGCTGATTTTTAGGCCTGCTCCCCCGCGATATTCCCCACCGTGTGTGACCACAGGATGCTGCGGCGTGGGGCAGGCAGCAGGCACCGCGCGCATAGTATCTGGTTCCATCCTTGGTTCTCCTATGAAGGACCGTCTCTTCTGGTTTCATAGTAAAGGAAACAAGTTGGAAAAGATGACGTTGCCCAAAGTTTTACAGCACGTGCACGACAGAGCTGAGGTTCCGGATCAAGTGTGCGTGCCCTGCCTCCTCTGGGGAACACTTGCACACCACCTGCTTCACGTGGACCCCGTCCCAGGCTCGGGGGATGTTGCAACAGCAAACACCCTCAGGGAACGTTTGAGTGTGGATGAGGGCTGCTGGTCAGAGAAGCCTGAGACGTCCTGAGCGCAGAGCCCCGTAGAGGAGGATGAAATGCTCCGGGATCCTAGGGTCACTCCTGGAAGGTGTTGTCTCTCTTTTCCCAGGAACCAGAGCAGTTTGGGTGGTGCTCTGGGGTGTCAGTGTCTGAGTTGCCAGGGAAACCTCTTTTCTCCCTCTCTTTCTGTTTCTCTTTCTTCCTGCTTAGTCTGTGTAATCCTTTATCCCTGTCCTTCAGTCACCGCACCTTGGGACCCAGTGGATTTCCTCCGATCATCTAGCTCAGGGTCCTGACTATAGACAGGTCCAGGACCCGCCTGTTCCTGATGGAGCAGTCTCTGAAAATCTTCAGAGAATGCAATCCCACCATCCTTCTTGTCCCCCGACTTTGGTTCCGAGGCCCACCTCCTGTTTTTAACTCGCCCTCCAGGGCTGAACTGAACGCAGCATCTTTCCCTCCAAAAGCCAGCTCTTCCTTGTGACACCTCTCTGCTTGGTGAACGGCATCACCATCTTACCACCTGCCCATGATGGAAGCCTCAGGAGTCTGTGACTCGTTTCAGCTTTGTATTTGGACGCCTCATCTGTGTAGACAGACATGAGGAAGTTGAAAGTTGAGCAGTCATGATGAACACGGCAGAGGTTCGCATGCAGGTTTCTGGGCCCGGCCCCCAGCCAGGCCAACCCTCGGTGACTCCTGTGTTCCCCAGGAGACTCAGAAGTAGGTGATCCTGGATCACTTAGAAAGCGCTCAGCTACTCAGGCTCACGCCCTGCCCAGCGCCCCTCTGTAGGGTCTGTGGTCTATCACCTGCTTTTCATTTCTGCTCCCAGCACCTTCTCCCACCTCCATCCCCTCACCACCACCCCCAGCCCCTCAGTACTCAATAAACAGAGCAGCTCTGGGGAGAGTGTGCTTCCCCAGGGGCTCAGCGGTAAAGAATCCACCTGTTAAAGCAGGAGACACAGGAGACGCCGGTTCGATCCCTGGGTCTGGAAGATCCCCTGGAGGAGGGCATGGCAACCCCCTCCAGTGTTCTTGCCTGGAGAACATCACAGACAGAGGAGCCTGGTGGGCTACGGTCCATGGGCTGGCAGAGTCAGCCTCGACTGAAGCGAGTTAGCATGGATGCATTGATGCCATCAGCTCTCTGTGTCACAAGCCTCAGTGGCTCCATGAGACCTGGAAATAAAAGCCCTCATGGCCCAGCGTTTCCGACCACCTGTGACCTGGTTCTCACACACCTTGCCAGGTTTATCTTCCTCTATGCCCATACTTTCCTCTAGTTCTGCCAGACAGGCGAGCCTTTTATTCAGGCATCCCCTGGGACCCCACCCCCCAACCCTGCAGCAGCTTGCCTCTCCTGAGATGCCCTTCTTCAGCATTTTCACCTCCTGAGATCCAGCCCCGCATCGGCCCTAGGCTCGTGGTCATGCTCTCCATTTCTTGCAAAGTTCTCCAAATGGTTCTTCTTTGATTTGTTCCATGGATAGGTACTGAGTCCTAGGGCACACCAGGCACGGGGGCCGCAGCCATGAGCACACTCCTGGATGCCCATGCTGTGAGACCGGGGGTCCCATGGGTTAGAGGGACGTTCGTCAGGTGAGTCTCACAAAGCAATGTGTGACTACAACTCCAGATCGGTGTTAAAAAAAAAAATAAAAATAATAATAGTAATAGGAGCAGGAATGTGAGCCAGTTGGACGACCCAGAGAGGTTTCCTTGAGAAAATGAACTGAGATCTGAAGGATGGGCACCCAAGAGGGTGCCGGCAGCCGGTGAGGGAAGTGGGGGCAGACAGTATCAGGGTTTGAGGCGGCCACGGAGCAGGCGGCTGGAGCGGGTCTCCGTCTTGACCTCCGAGGAAGTCGTGCCTGGGACCGGAGCTCCCAGGGCGAGCGGTTTCCTGGTAACACTGCCCTGGGGGCAACCTTCTGGGGGCAGCCTCTGTCTCCTAACTTCCTTGCCTGGTTTTAGACTCCCGGCGCTTGAGGAGCGCCCGAATCTGCCTTCCTCACAGCCGCGGAAACACACTCAGCAACACGGGATCCGGGATCAGATGCCAGCGTCCCCAGAGGTGCGTCTTCCACGCACCGCGGCGCGTCTGTGGCGCCCGCGCTGCATTAGGCGCTGGAGGGCAGGGAGCTCTGCGGGAGCACCTCCGCCTCCGCGCGAGGCGCTGCTGTGAAAAAGGCCGGGATGCTGGTGCCCAGCAGTCGGAAGGCGCCGTGCTCCCCAGGCTCCTTGAGGGTGGTGCCCGGACCGGGAGGGCATGTCCAGAAACGGGTGACAAATGGCGCAGGAGCTGAACGATAAGCAACATTTCAGTAGATGAAAACGGCAAAGGTGGGCATCCCCAGAGGCCAGCCCTGGTGACTAGGGGGCGTGGGGGAGTCAGGGAGCACTCGCGAGGGAGCAGACAGGTGGGGAAACGAGGCTGGACCGAGCGGCTGATGCAGCCGGAAGCTCCGTTGGATCCGAAGGCCGCGACTTTGTCCTCCAGCGAGCTGACTCCCTAGGGGGGAACCGGCGGTGAACCCGGGCCTCCTGGGTGCCTCTTCTCCCTCCTCCCCCGCGCCCCCCACGTCCCCCAGCAGAGCTCCTGGCCTGAATAGGGGGCTTGTTCTGCCTCTCCCTCCAGCCTCTGCATATTGATGTTCTGGGTCGTTAAGGGGCTTGGAGACTGGGCGGGAGGGCGGGTGACGACCTGGCAAAGGCCTCAATAGTCATTGTTCCTTTTCTTCCCACTTTGAATGGGATTCTGTCCCCAGTCTTGGTATCTCCTTCTGGCTTGGAGGAGGGGATGGGTCAGGGGCCAGCGGAGGGGAGCCTTTTCCCACCGCTCTGATGGATGGGGCCTAAGCCGACAGATGCAGAGATTCCAGCATCCTTGGAGCTCTCCCAGTCTCCCCCTCCTGCCCCAAGCCAGGCGTCCTCAGCCTTGAGCTTAATACCCATGAAATGAGCCTGGGTTGGGCATGGGTCTGCATTCAGGGTTCCAGGAGGTAGAGGAGAAAGAGGCAACAGTTTCAGGCTTAATTTTCCCCGCCAGTCCTGCAGGTTCATCTCGATCTAACTGTTCCTCTGCAGGAACCCGATCTCTTCCCTGCCCTCGCCACCCCCTACCCACCCACCCCGAGACTATCCAGAATGACACTACCCTACCTTTTGTTTATAATTACAGGACCCCTTTTTATTATTATTCAGGAAGCAGGCAGAGTTATCTAAGGTTGAAGAGCATGATCTTTGCTCACACACGTCTGGACTCAAATCCTTGACATGTACTTCTACACTCTGTCTCATTGGGCAGTTTAAGTGAGACTACCTTGGTGGCTCAGATGGTAAAAATCCTCCTACAATGCAGGAACCCGGGTTCAATCCCTGGGGTGGGAAGATCCCTTGGAGAAGTCAACGGCAACCCACTCCAACATTCTTGCCAGGAGAATTCCATGTACAGAGGAGCCTAGTGGACTATACAGTCCATGGGGTCGCAAAGTGTCAGACAGGACTGAGCAAGTAACACTTTCATTTTCACCCTATCTTTGGCTTTCCTGGTGGGTCAGCAGGTAAAGAATCTGCCTGCCAGTGCAGGAGATGCAAGAGACTCAGTTTCAGTCCTTGAGTTGGGAAGATCCCCTGGAGAAGGAAATGGCAACCCACTCCAGTATTATTGCCCAGAAAATCCCATGGACAAAGGAGCCTGGCGGGCTATAGTCTATGAGGTTGCAAAGTCAGACACAACTTGTGACTAAACTGCCACTAAACAGCCACAACCCTGTCTTTAGGATGGTTGAGCTTCTTGAATAAAAGATGTTAGATAAATAGAAAGCTATTCTTAGGATCGCTATTACTGTTGTTGATATAAGACTTAATGCTGGGAAATATGAGAGAGTTCTCTCACCCTGATCTTTTATTTTATTTTTTTACCACACCCATAAAAGTCCAGAGAGCCAGCTCCATCACCACTGGGTGGGCTTCCTGGGTGGGGATAGAGTCTTCCTCCGTTCTCTAGGTTTCCCTGACCTGTGTTCTTTTCCTCTTAGCCCTCAGGGGCTTAGGCCTTTAGAGAGTCACGGAAGAAGAGAGATTATTTAAGAGCACTTTCTATGTGTCCAAGGCTATGTGCCTTAGTGCAAAGGACAGGGCGCTTGAGAAATCCAGGACTTGGCACAAATACATACATGTTGAGTGGGAGAGCAACATTTAATTATGGCAAAAACTTTGCAAAGGAGCTATTATCTTATTTCTCCTGGGGGAGAAAAGGAGGTTGTGGGCTCCTCATATGAAGCAAACAAATGTGACTGCAAACTAAATTTAGGGTCTCCGGACTCCAAGCCAGGCAGTGCCCTTTGGGGTACCCTGCAGCGTCACCCACATCCTTCCTTTGCAGCTCATCAGCTTCCCACCCTGCCGCCGCCCCAGCCGCACCCCTGAACCGTTCCCGGTTCACGACAGGAAGGAGCCCCCTTCAAAGCCAAGACAGCCAAGGTGCCGGCCACCCAGTAGGACTCGCTTACCGGGAACCTCTTAAGGCAGCACCCGTGGGTTCCAGCCCCGGGTGCCCCTGACCGCCTCCTCCGTCTCTCTCTGGCAGGGACCCTCCGGCCAGTCCGGCGCAACTACTACGACCCCGCCTCGGCGCCTGGGAAGGGCGTGGTGTGGGAGTGGGAGAACGACCACGGCTCCTGGACGCCCTACGACATGGACGTGGGCATCACCATCCAACACGCCTTCGAGAAGCAGCGGCCCTGGATCGACCTGAGCCCCATCGGCTTCGGCTATGTCATTGACTTCGGCACCATGGGCCAGATCAACCGGCAGACGCAGCGCCAGCGCCGCGTGCGCCGCCGCCTGGACCTCGTCTACCCGCTGGTCACGGGCGCCGCGAGCCGCGCCACGTCCTGGCCGGCCGCCCCTGGGGCCGCCGCCGCCGCCGCCGCCGCAGGGCCGCGCGCGCCGCCCTGCTCCTGCCCGCAGTGCGTCCTGGTGAGGAGCGTCAAGGCAGCGGCAGCCCCGCCGGCCCCGGCCGCCCACAGGAGCGCCGCCCCGCCCGCGGCCGTCAAGGGGCCGCCGCCGCCCGCAGGCCCCGGGGCCACGCCACCGGACAGCACGGGCGTCAGCCAGGGCCCCGGGAAGCCGGCCCCGTCGTCGCAGGCGATTCGGAGACAAGCCTCCTGCGTGGTGTCAGGGGTAGCCCCCGCAGGCTGCCCTGCCAGCCCCCCGGGGGCTAACGGCAAGGCCGGCCGGGCGGCCCTGGCCACCTTGAATCGGACCAGCCTGCAGCGACTGGCCCTCGCCCAGTCCCGGGTGCTGATCGCGTCTGGGTAAGTGCTTCTGCGGCGACACCCGGAGCGCGTCCGGAGCCCCAGGCCCCAGACCTGAGGATCGCCTGAGTCAGAGAGGACCCAGGGGCTGCTCTGGCTTAAGCTCCTCCTTGGCCTCTCCAGACCCCCTGGTTGCAGGGGGAAGGCCCGCAGTGCTGTGATGTGGAGGGGAGCCTTTTGGTCTTTGGGGTCCCAGCAGGTCTGGATTCTGAAGGAGACGTTGCCTCTTACTAGGAGGAGGAAATGGCAACTCACTCTAGTATTCTTGCTGGAGAATCCCGTGGACAGAGGAGCCTGGTGGGCTGCTGTCCATGGGGTCGGACACAGTCGGACACGACTGAAGCAACTTAGCATGCATGCATGCATTGGAGAAGGAAATGGCAACCCACTCCAGTGTTCTTGCCTGGAGAATCCCAGGGATGGAGGAGCTGGATGGGCTGCCGTCTATGGGGTCGCACAGGGTCGAACACGACTGAAGTGACTTAGAAGCAGCAGCGGTGGCCCTGTGATAGGAGCCGGTTCCCTAACATCATAGAATCCTAATTTGCTCATCTGTAAATACTGGCCGTGGTGTTAGGGTTGCAGTGAGGACTAAAGGAGACCATGCCTGCCAAGGAAGAGCAGGCATCATTCGTGGGCTCCCACCACCTTCTAGTCTGCAGGCCTTATCGCTTTACTTAATCCCTGCAAGTCTATGAAGCAGGCATTTTTGTCCCCATTGGAAGACCCGAGAGGTTTCACTCGTTCCAGGGCACATATCTGGTTATCAGCCGAGACAGGGAGTTTGAGCCCAGACTCCTTCCGACTCTGCCACGCGGCTTCCCTGGCAATCGCACACTGCGGTGTCCAGCACACCGTAGATGTCCCGTGAGAGTTACTTCCTCGCCTCTAGTGACTCCAGATTGGAATAACAGCCCATGTTTAGTAAGTGCTCACCACGGGGTTTCCCTGGTGGCTCAGATGGTGAGGAATCCACCTGCATTGCAGGAGCCTCAGGTTTGATCCCTGAGTCAGGAAGATCCCCTGGAGGAGGGCATGGCTACCCACTCCAGTATTCTTGCCTGGAGAATTCCATGGACAGAGGAGCCTGGTGGGCTACCATCCATGGGGTTGCACGACTGAGCGACTTCACTTTCACACACTTCCACTTACATGTGCCAGACACTTTCTGTGCGTGTCAGTCATTCCTTGTGACAACTTGGGGGTGTTGTCCATTCTGTTATTCCTGTTTATCAACCTTCTTAGTCTTCCTGATAAAAGTCTTCTCTGATAAAATCAGAGACCCAGGTCCACGTGGTACCTCCCCCCCACCTTTGTCTGCTGGCCACGGATTTCATTTGAGATTGGGCCTCTTATACCTGCCAGTCTTCCCTTTCTCTGGAGGAGCCTGACCCAGCAGACAGCCCTAGCCCCAGATATTCAGGAAGGCTTACAGTTAGGGTGGACACCAGCTTGCGAAGATCGGGCTGCCTGGAGGAAGGTCTCTGCATGGGGGGGCTCGGCCCTGGGCGGAGAGAAGATGAGGGGATGCTGTGGCCTAGGAGGTGGCCCAGGGTACCCCTACCTCTGCCGTTGGACAGGCCCTAGACTCTGCACGTCCACGCCCTGCCTGTATGGACTGGGGGTAGCAGGCTTGCCCTGCCCACCCCTTGAGTCAGCGTGTAGCCCTCAGCGAAGAGAGGGCACTCCTTCACAGCCGCCCAGATGCACTTGCCAGCAGGAACCCATTCCAAGGGTCAGACAAGGGCCCTGAGCCTCAAGGGAACTCCGCAGGGGGCGCTGCACACTCCACACGTTACGGAGGTGAGGCCGGGCCCAGGTCTTCGCCTCCTCATCCAATCAGTGCTCTTTTGGCTAAAGCCCAGCTCCTCATTGTATTCGAAGCCAAGTTATAAATGGTCAGATGCCGGTCAGGTGCCGGGGCTTTTCCCATGACTTCCTCTGGGCCTGCAGAAATGTCTGGCAGAGGGAAAGGGCCTGGTGATGCCACTGGTCCTGTCTCCACGCTGGCATGAGGCAGCATCCCGGGGCCTCTCACAGGAGTTCCTGGCGCCTGCCACCGTGGGAGACGGACGCTCGCGTGGGGTAAGAGGTCACCCTCGGGAAGCCTGACCGCGCGGGCTGGGACCCAGGTTTCTGGCTGCATAACTCGTAACTCGGGGCAAGCTGTGCACCATCCGTCTTCAGTTTATTCATCTGTAAAATGGGGGAAGGAACAGTTCCTTGCCTATAGGATTTGCCATGGGGATTACAGGAGGTTTTCAGTGAGATTTACCATAATGCTGGGCACGTGATAAGAATTTGCTCAGACGCTGCTATTGTTATTACTATGAACTGTCTGAGCTAGGCCCTCTGTAGTTGCTGAAGTCGGAGCTAAGCTGACTCCACCACTTCATTTCTGGTGCCCTAGGCAAAAGCCAGGTGACCTCCAAGCCATAACTGAAGGAAAGGAAGCCCAGATCGCTTTAAATCTCAGCTTCTATCTCTGCTTTAGTGTCTGCAGGGCCGACGGAATCTGAGCGACCGAGGAGGGCGGAGTTCTGGGCAGTGCAGTTTGAAAAGGGCTATAGAAATGAGCTGGTTCTTCTCCGCTGTTTCCCTGACATGGGAGGCCCCTCTGCGGTGCTGTCTGTCTCCCGGCCCTCTCCTCCCCGCCTCTCCCAGCTCCCTCACCCCCATGCTCACTCAAGGAGCATGTTGATCCCCTTTGTTGACTCTGTCGTCCAGCGGCCCCAGCCCCTCCTCTCTCTGCCCTTGGCCTCTCCCAGCAACTTCCCCACGGAAAAAAGGAAGACCCGGCAGGGTGGCAGAGGTGCCCTGGAGAGAAGGGTCTGGGGGGAACAAAAGACCCCGTGAATTATTCAGAGACACGAGCGGGTCTGGGGGGGGCTGTGCCCCCAAGGGCGGCAGTTGCCCTTCGGGCCCTCTTTTCTGGACGCAGGCGGCTCCATCTCCAGTGAGACCTCTGTCGCTGGAGAGATCAGAACGCGGTTCTGCTGACCATCCCTGGGCTGGCTCAGAACCCCCAGAAGAAGCACTGCTGTCCCCGTGGCGTCTGCAAAGGGACTCTCCCCTCACCAAGCCCTCCTTCCCTGCCACCCTGCCACTCGTGTCTCCCCGTTTTGTATTCTCGAGACTGAAATTAAAATAAGCACGTGGGCAGGAGTGGTGGGAGTGTCCCTGACGACTGGCCAACAGGGGGTCAGGTCCCGCAGCCTTAGCTGAGCCGCGCTCCCTGGAGGAGGTGGGTGGATGCTTGCCAGCCTCTGTCTGGCCTGCTGATTTCTAGACAAAGGGCTCAGGCGCCTATAACCCGGGGGCCCCACTGGGCAGTGACTGCTGTGGACCCTGGAGGCTGCTCTCCCGGTTTTCACCTCCACCAGGAACATTGCAGGAGGGTTACTGGGCGTTTCCAGCTCCACAGTCTGCCCAGCACTCAGCTTGATTCTTACCCTTGACCCCCTCGAGAAGCTGAGAAAACTGGGACATTAAGCGAGGAGGGAAAAAGGGCTTCCCTGGTGGCTCGGCTGGTAAAGTGTCTGCCTGCCATGCAGGTGACCTGGGTTCGATCCCTGGGTCGGAAAGATCCCCTGGAGGAGGAAATGGCAACCCATTCCAGAATTCTCGCCTGGAGAATGCGGGGCCTGGCGGGCTACAGCCCCTGGGGTCACAGGGTTGGACTAAACCCGAGTGAGTGACTAAACCACCACCAAGCAGGAAAAGGCTTTCTCTGGAGCCCACTTCCTCTTACCCTTGGGAAACAAGAATGTAAACGATCACCCAGATTTGCACAGGGCTGGGCTGTTTACAGAAGATGCGACCCAGATCCGAATTCCTCCTGGGGACTGAGATTTGGGGCACCCTGTTTACTGCTGTGGTAACTCAGACAAGGCCGAGAATGGCAGAGACTGCGTGGTTCTCCCCAACGCATAAAGGCCCCATGGGGTGGCCTGGAAGCCAGGCCTCCCCACCCCCTGGCGGGCCCTTCCCGTGGACACTTCTGTATTTCATAAGCATGTACCCCCTCCTTGAGCCCTGCTCCCAGCGTCCAGCGCTGCCCGACTAGCCCTTTGGTGGGGACGCCCACCTGTCTGCTAGGATGGGGGCACACCCTCCCTATCTCTCCAGACCCTGCCCCCAGCCCCCAGTTCTCAGGCCGCCCTGGGTGTGCCCTCTGGGGAGGCTGGACTATTTCCTCCTTCTCCAGACCAGGTAAACCAGCTGGTCCAGTTTGTGGGAACAAAAGTGGCTTTTGTCCTGCAGATTGCAGCTCCTTATCAGCCTGAGTGGGGGCGGGAGGTGGTGAGGGGGGTAGGCAGGTGCAGGGCTGGGCCATGCCTGCCGCCCTGGTGGGCATCCAGGGAGCAGGCCCTCCCACACCCCCAGGATAGCTGGAGGGGAACTAGACCCAGTGCAGAACCCAGCAGGGAGACTGCCCCCAAAGTTGGGTTGTCAGATTCTGGGGTGCGAATCATCAGGAAGTCTCTCCTGGCAGCCTCTCAGTTCAGTTCAGTTCAGGCGCTCAGTCATGTCTGACTCTTTGTGACCCCATGAATCTCAGCACGCCAGGCCTCCCTGTCCATCACCAACTCCCGGAGTCCACCCAAACCCATGTCTGTTGAGTCAGTGATGCCATCCAACCGTCTCGTCCTCTGTCGTCCCCTTCTCCTCCTGCCCTCAATCTTTCCCAGCATCACAGTCTTTTCAAATGAGTCATCTCTTTACATCCAATGGTCGAAGTATTGGAGTTTCAGCTTCAGCATCAGTCCTTGCAACAAACACCCTGGACTGATCTTCTTTAGGATGGACTGGTTGGATCTCCTTGCAGTCCCAGGGACTCTCAAGAGTCTTCTCCAACACAGTTAAAGAGCATCAATTCTTTGGCGCTCAGCTTTCTTCACAGTCCAACTCTCACATCCATACATGACTACTGGATAAACCATAGCCTTGACCAGATGGACCTTTGTTGGCAAAGTGATGTCTGGGTAAAGAGGTGGCAGCTGTTAGAGTGGTGGTTCCCGCATGTTGGGCCAGGGGTGGGAACCTCTGCCCACCTCTCAGCAGAAGCTCCTCAAAGTGCAGATGCTCACGCCCTGCAGCTGGCGCTTCTGATTCAGGCAAGGGGCTCTTCCTTCCAGAAGCTTCTGAGGTGACTGTACCCCACCCCTCCCCAGGGTTTGAACTCGCTTTTTTTTTTTTCATTGCTTCCACCTATATTCATGAAATGCCGCTAAGTGTAAGGCTCTGAATGAGACAGCAGTGTTTGTCCTGATGGAGAATAGATTTCGGGAGGGGAGGTAAGAAGTAACAATTTATTTAAAAAGACCGTAAGTGGGACTTCCCTGGTGGCCCAGTGGTTAGGACTTGGCGCTTTCACTGCCGGGGTCCTAGGTTCAATCCCTGGTCGGGGAACTAAGATCCTGCAGGTCGACCTGTGTGGCCAAAAAGCAAAAAGGACCAAGGAGGAGGACTTGGCGTCTCGGGGGGGTGGGGGCAGTGTTAAATGAGTTGTCCTCCGTCACTGAGGAGGGGACGTCGGAACCCAGACTGAAGGATCTGTAGCAGGGAGCCCAGTGTGGGTCAGGTGGAAAAACGCTTCAGGCAGAGGGAACCACACGTGCAAAGGCCCTGAGGCTGGGGTGTGCCCAGCCTGTAGGAGGAACAGCAACATCACAGAGAGGAGATGGGTGACTCGGGATACCGGGGAGCTGGCGGGGGGTGCTCGGGGCAGGGGTGTTCCATGGCTCTACAGGGCGGGACAGGCCTTGCTGGCACTCTGCGCGAGCCCTGGGCCGTTCTGAGCTCTGAGGTTCTGAGCGGAGCTGTGACATGCTCTGCTGGGGTTTGAAGGACTCAGCTCTGGCTGTGGGCAGACTGGGGCTTTAGTAGGAGCAAGTGATTCCTATGAGAGGGGAACCCCCTCAGTGGGCGATGTTCTGGGGCTCCCAGCACTGTGACCCTTTTTTCCCGCTTGTCAAACCCATGATGTGTCTGCTCTGTGCTTTTGCAGGGTGCCCACTGTCCCGGTGAAGAACCTGAGTGGGTCCAGCCCCGTCAACCCTGCGCTGGCAGGTAAGGAAGTCCCGGTTGTAGGGAGAAAAGAGAGAGACTAGGAGGGCCTTTGGGATGGACGCGAACGCTCTTAAGTGGAGTGAAAGTCGCTCAGTCGTGTCCGACGCTTTGCGACCCCGTGGACTGTACCGTCCGTGCTGGTCTGTTTTAAATGGACAACTAACAAGCAGCTACTGCCCAGCTCACGGGACTCAGTTCAGTCATGGCAGCCTGGGCAGGACGGCAGTTTGTAGGGGGACGGACGCATGGAAACGCAGTTCACCTGAAACCGTCACCACATGGTTCATCCGCTGTACCCAATACAAAAGGAAGAGTTTAACAACAAATAAAAGAAGTGAAAAACAAGAAAAGCAAAAGCAACAGGTGTCACGGACGTTTGTAAAAAGACAATCCGGTGGTGACTGAGACAAATGAGGACGGATCACTGGGCGGGGAGTGTGGAGTCGGTCAGTGGGCGGGGAGTGTGGAGTCGGTCACTGGGCGGGGACTGTGGAGTCTGTTACTGGGCGGGGACTGTGGAGTCAGTTTCTGGGGGCGGGGACTGTGGAGTCAGTTTCTGGGGGCGGGGACTGTGGAGTCGTTACTGGGCGGGGAGTGTGGAGTCGGTTACTGGGCGGGGACTGTGGAGTCGTTACTGGGCGGGGAGTGTGGAGTCGGTTACTGGGCGGGGACTGTGGAGTCGGTCACTGGGCGGGGAGTGTGGAGTCGGTCACTGGGCGGGGACTGTGGAGTCCGTTACTGGGCGGGGACTGTGGAGTCAGTTTCTGGGGGCGGGGACTGTGGAGTCGGTCACAGGGCGGGGACTGTGGAGTCCGTTACTGGGCGGGGACTGTGGAGTCAGTTTCTGGGGGCGGGGACTGTGGAGTCTGTTACTGGGCGGGGACTGTGGAGTCAGTTTCTGGGGGCGGGGACTGTGGAGTCAGTTTCTGGGGGCGGGGACTGTGGAGTCGTTACTGGGCGGGGAGTGTGGAGTCGGTTACTGGGCGGGGACTGTGGAGTCGTTACTGGGCGGGGAGTGTGGAGTCGGTTACTGGGCGGGGACTGTGGAGTCGGTCACTGGGCGGGGAGTGTGGAGTCGGTCACTGGGCGGGGACTGTGGAGTCCGTTACTGGGCGGGGACTGTGGAGTCAGTTTCTGGGGGCGGGGACTGTGGAGTCGGTCACAGGGCGGGGACTGTGGAGTCCGTTACTGGGCGGGGACTGTGGAGTCAGTTTCTGGGGGCGGGGACTGTGGAGTCGGTTACTGGGCGGGGACTGTGGAGTCGGTTACTGGGCGGGGACTGTGGAGTCAGTTTCTGGGGGCGGGGACTGTGGAGTCGGTCACTGGGCGGGGACTGTGGAGTCGGTCACAGGGCGGGGACTGTGGAGTCCGTTACTGGGCGGGGACTGTGGAGTCGGTCACAGGGCGGGGACTGTGGAGTCCGTTACTGGGCGGGGAGTGTGGAGTCCGTTACTGGGCGGGGACTGTGGAGTCGGTTACTGGGCGGGGAGTGTGGAGTCGGTCACTGGGCGGGGACTGGAGTCAGTTTCTGGGGGCGGGGACTGTGGAGTCAGTTTCTGGGGGCGGGGACTGTGGAGTCGGTTACTGGGCGGGGAGTGTGGAGTCGGTTACTGGGCGGGGACTGTGGAGTCGGTCACTGGGCGGGGAGTGTGGAGTCGGTCACTGGGCGGGGACTGTGGAGTCGGTCACAGGGCGGGGACTGTGGAGTCCGTTACTGGGCGGCGAGTGTGGAGTCCGTTACTGGGCGGGGAGTGTGGAGTCGGTCAGTGGGCGGGGAGTGTGGAGTCGGTCAGTGGGCGGGGAGTGTGGAGTCGGTCACTGGGCGGGGACTGTGGAGTCGGTCACAGGGCGGGGACTGTGGAGTCCGTTACTGGGCGCGGGGACTGTGGAGTCAGTTTCTGGGGGCGGGGACTGTGGAGTCAGTTTCTGGGCGGGGAGTGTGGAGTCGTTACTGGGCGGGGAGTGTGGAGTCGGTCACTGGGCGGGGACTGTGGAGTCGGTCACAGGGCGGGGACTGTGGAGTCGGTCACAGGGCGGGGACTGTGGAGTCAGTTTCTGGGGGCGGGGACTGTGGAGTCAGTTTCTGGGGGCGGGGACTGTGGAGTCAGTTTCTGGGCGGGGACTGTGGAGTCGGTTACTGGGCGGGGACTGCGGAGTCGGTCACTGGGCGGGGACTGCGGAGTCGGTCACTGGGCGGGGACTGTGGAGTCGGTCACAGGGCGGGGAGTGTGGAGTCCGTTACTGGGCGGGGAGTGTGGAGTCGGTCACTGGGCGGGGAGTGTGGAGTCGGTCACTGGGCGGGGACTGTGGAGTCGGTCACTGGGCGAGGACTGTGGAGTCGGTCACTGGGCGGGGAGTGTGGAGTCGGTTACTGGGCGGGGAGTGTGGAGTCGGTTACTGGGCAGGGACTGTGGAGTCGGTCACTGGGCGGGGACTGTGGAGTCGGTCACTGGGCGGGGACTGTGGAGTCGGTTACTGGGCCGGGACTGTACAGTTGGGTTACCAGGAGGGGAGTGTAGGGTTAGTTACCAGGAGGGGAGTGTAGAGAGGGCTGGGGGCTGACCCTCCAGCCCTCCTCCCTGGCGCCCTCATCTTCCAGGAATCACTGGGATCCTCATGAGCGCGGCAGGGCTGCCCGTGTGTCTCACCCGGCCACCAAAGCTGGTCCTTCACCCACCCCCCGTCAGCAAGAGCGAAATTAAATCCATCCCCGGGGTTTCCAACACAAGCCGCAAGACCACCAAGAAGCAAGCCAAGAAAGGTATCAGCCTCCTTGTCAAAAGGAGTCCTGGGGGGTAGGTCACAAACTCGGCTCCCGGCCTGGCTCTGTCTCCACCACTGAGGGTCGCACCCCTGCCTTCTGTGCCTCGGTTTCTGCATCTGCTAAATGGACTAACTAATCCCCACTCCCAGGATTACACCAAAGTGGATAGGCTTGGATCTGATGGAGACCCTTTAAGAAACAGAGAAATTCAGGGCAACAATATAGATACATAAAGATACAACGTGTGACACAAAGAATATACACTAGATAGATGGAGCACTTCCGCATGGGAACCCTAACTGCCTGGATTCAGATCCAAGCTTTGTCCCCTGCAAATCATGAGACCCTAGCCAACCTCAGTTTTCTCCCCTTTGCAACGGACACAGCTGGTACCCAGCGGGTGTGTCCTGGGAGGCAGTGGGAGTCACCACTGAGCTCATCCCCCCTCCTCACAGTCCCGCAGCTAAGAGGTCAAAACCTGTGCCTCCCTGGGCCCCGACGACCCAGCCTGACCTCCGCAGCCAGTCTCTTTAGCTCTGGGGTGCGTGCGTGCGTGCATGTGTGTGTGTGTGTGTGTGTGTCTGTGTTCAGTCGCTCAGTCCTGTCCGGCTCTCTGGGACCCCATGGACTGTAGCCAGCCAGGCTCCTCTGTCCAGGGGATTTCCCAGGCAGGAATCCTGGAGCGGGTTACCATTTCCTCGTCCGGGGGACCTTCCCGACCCGGGGATCGAAGCTGCATCTCCTGCTTTGGCAGGCAAATTCTTTACCGCTAACATACCACCTGGGAAACCCCTGGTCTCTAGTATCAGTTTCGAAATGATTCGACCGTCAGCCCTAAGCCCTCCCCTTGCAGACTGGTGACGTTTCAGTGGGATCATATGCGTGTTATAACTTAGCTCAGCAAGCAATAGGCTCTCAGTCAACGGAAGCTTAATTCTTGTAAGTGAAGCAGGGCAGTGGGAAGGGAGGGCCTGCACCCCAGCTTTTGGACGTTGGAGGAGCCACTTGGTGAAACCCTGTCCTACTTTTCCAGTCTATCAACTTTCTCTGCTAAAATGAACTCACTTGCCTTCCTGGCAGTCTCATAGGAAATGACAGGATTTTGCGCTTTCCCATTCTTCCTGTTACTATTAATAGCACTTACCCAACTCTCAGCCGGCCACGTGCGGCAGGGCTGCCCGTGCATTAGCGCGTTTAACTGTCGGAGCGCCCCTCCGAGCAGGTGCTATTGTTCTTGCCCGCTGTCTAGGTGAGAAACACAAGCTCAGAGACGTTCAGGCCAAGGGGGCTCCAACCCTTTATTCCTTCTCTGCCCCTTGGCACGGCTGCCTCATGCCGACCCCTGCTCCTAGTCCAGGCTGCCTCTCAGGGGCCTGGCTCCCCCTCCCCCCAGATCCCAGAGTCACTGCCCCTGCCGGGACACATCACCGTCTCCCTACGGCTGGGCAGAGAGCGCCGGCACCGTCGGCAGGAGGAAGACAGTCAGAAAGCTGCGGCCGTCAAGTCCCAGCTTCCCATAAAAATGATGGCGCTTTGACGCCACGTTGCAGATCAAGACAGTCCTTAGCACATCGTGAAACGAATGCCATAAACCAGCCCAATGTTTGAAAACGTGCAACTCTTTACAGAGTACTTTCATTACTGTTAGCTCGATGCAGCCTTTGGGCAGGTCCAGGCTCTTTGATGGTGGGGAAGGGAAGCCCACTCGGCCCGTGACACTGAAAAAGTGGATTTGTTGCGATTAGGCAGGCTGGTGTCAGTGCAGTGACCGCAGGAGATAAGACGGACGTAAACACCTCCCACCTCAGACCACCTAGCTCCCGCCTCCACCCCTGTGTCCCGTTTCCATTCTTAAATCCAACAGCACGATGATTCCTCCTCTTTTCTGAAAGCTCTGAACCTGGCTAACAACGCCCCTCTCTCTGGCATGTCCAGCTTGTCTTGGCGATCCACTGACCATCCTGTCCCCACAGGGAAAACTCCAGAAGAAGTGTTGAAGAAGTATCTGCAGAAAGTCCGGCATCCGCCAGACGAGGTGAGTCCAGAGCCACCGGGTCAGGGTTCATCCCCCCCCTCCCCCCCAGAGTCATCTCTTCGGCCAGTTTTCTGCAGGAGGCGGCTGGCGCTGCTTTCTGGGTTCCAACTGATGCAGAGCTGGTCAGAGTGGATGTCCTGGGCCACAGCTGTGGCTTAACCTCTCACACCTGCCTGTTCAGCAAACCGCTGACTGATGCTCAACTACTTTACTGTGAATTTAAGCAAAGCAGTGTGATAAGTTATGGGAACCGACTTAAAAATGGGCTTGATGGTGATCAGAGATCCTGAACCAGAGGCGATTTTATACAACTGGAGGGAAGGGGGGATGCTGGTGGTATCCAGCAAACCAAGGCCAAAGATGCTGCTGAACCCACCACCTTACTCAGAAGGCCCAGGACAGGACCCACAGCGAAGAACTGTTTGTTCAGTCGCTGAGTCACGGATGACTCTTTGCAGCCGCGTGGACTGGAGCCAGCCAGGCTCCCCTGTCCCCGTGTTTGCTCAGAGTCATGTCCATTGAGCTGGCGATGCGATCTCTCTGACCATCTCTTTCTCTGCCACCTCCTCCTTTGTTCTAGACCACAGGCTCTGGAACACAGGGCTTCAGTAGTTGCCGTGTGTGGGCTTAGTTGCCCTGCAGCGTATGGAATCTTTCCAGACCAGGATCAAACCCATGTCCCTTCACTGGCGGGTGAATTCTTAACCACCAGGGAAGTCCTCAGCAGAGAGTTATCCAGCCCCAAATGTTGAAACGTGCTGCAGCCTCTCCAGGGCACTTCAAATACAATTCCTTTTCAAATGTCCCACTTAATAAGTAAATGGTCAGTGGGTCAAATCAGCAAGTGGTTTCCTCCACAGACCACTGAGGGACCCCACGGAAGGACAGTCACAGCCCCCAAGGAGGGGCTATCATTCTGTATGGCAGCCTAAATTAGCATGTATCACCATCAGGTATTAGTTCAAGAGTTACTCTGCTGTGCCAAAGAAGACAGAATTCTGTCTAGATTCCCAGAGGTGTGTGTTCCCTGGTTTGTGGGCTTTCTGGAAGAGGAGCAGTAACAGGCCCCTTGGCTGCTGAGATCATGCCGGAAGACCGTGGAGGTGCTGTGGCCTCCCAGCCCGAGTGGGAACTGATGGTCTTTCTCCTTTGCCCCTTTCCTGCCCCAGGACTGCACCATCTGCATGGAGCGCCTCACGGCCCCGTCGGGCTACAAGGGCCCCCAGCCGACGGTCAAGCCGGACCTGGTGGGCAAGCTGTCCCGGTGCAGCCACGTCTACCACGTCTACTGCTTGGTGGCCATGTACAACAACGGCAACAAGGTGGGTGCCAGCTCAGGGGGTGCCACCACCTCCCAGGTGGGCCCTGGGGCGCCCAAGCCTGGAGCTCTTATTGGAGTGGCACCCAGGTGCTTTGGGGAGTCTTAGAGGCACCCGCAGGCTTCCCTGGTGGCTCAACGGTGAAGAATCCACCTGCAATGCAGGAGACGCATGTTCAATCCCTGAATCAGGATGATTCCTTGGAGGAGGGCATGGCAACCACTCCAGTATTTTTGCCTGCAGTATCCCATGGACAGAGGAGTCTGCCGGGCTAAGGTCCTTAGGGTCGCAGAGAGTCAGACATGACTGAAGCGATTGAGCGTTTATGCAGGAGCACCCCAGAGGAGCAGGAGTGATGATCTTGTTTGTTCTCAGCCTGATCAGTTTTCCCCAAAATTACTATGTTGGCAAAATCTGTCTGTACCTTCCTTTTGGGCTATGCTGCCCAACTTCCTGGGGCTTCCCTGGTGGCTCAGCGGGAAGGAATCCGCCTGCCAATGCAGGAGATTCAAGTTCCATCTCTGGGTCAGGAAGATCCCCTGGAGAAGGATAATGGCAGCCCACTCCAGTATTCTTACAGGGATAATCCCATGGACAGAGAAGCCTGGTGGGTTACAGTCCATGGGGTGGCCAAAGAGTTGGACAGGCCTGAATGGCTAAAGAACAACAACAAACCCAACTCCTCCCAGGGTCTACACTGTGTGGTGGTCTGAGAGGTGTAGACGTCTGTCCCTGAGGGTTTGGAAGGGAGTTTTCTCTAATGATGGGCCCATGGGGAGTGTCCATTCATGCTGGCATAGGACTTCCCAATCACCCTTCCTTCTCCCAGGGCGAGTGCTTTTCAGTTACAATTCATGTTCTTTGGGCACCTTTCATTGTCCTTTCAAAAGCAGTAAAAGTTTTGTCAAAGGACAGCTGGAAGGCCCTAAGGTCCACTGTTGGAGAGGAGGGCTGTGTGATCCTGTCTTAACCACCAGTGACACTGGAGGGGTGGCCCCCCATTAGAGCTGGTTTCCAGGACTCTGGGTGTGTCCTCAGATGGTAAGTCTCTCCATACAGCGCCTAAAGCCCTTGGCTTTTCTCATGTTCTGCCCTCGGCCTGGGTCACCTGTGGGATTCCGAATCTACTCATGTCTCCAGACCCAGCTGGGATTGCATCAGAGTCTGTGATTTTTGTGATATCTTCCAGCCACTTCCTGGAGAAGGAAATGGCAACCCACTCCAGTACTCTTGCCTGGAAAATCCCATGGAGGGAGGAGCCTCTTGGGCTACAGTCCACAGGGTCACAAAGAGTCGGACACGACTGAGCGAATTCACCAGCCACTTATTCATCCAAAAGTGTGTCTGGCCTTCAGGGGCTGCCCTGTCCATATCTTGCTGGGGGAAGAGTAGAGGCAGCCGACCCAAGCGCAAACCCTGGCTGAGGAGCCAAATGACCTCGGGCAGCAAGACTGTCAATCTCTCTGAGATTTCATTTCCCATCTGGAAAATGGAGATAGAACAATCCCTACTTCCTAACATACTGAAAGTGAGAAGAAAAAGGGAAAGGGGCTCCCCTGGTGGCTCAGACGGTAAAGAATCCACCTACAGTGAAGGTAGACCCAGGTTCGATCCCTGGGTCAGGAAGATCCCCTGGAGAAGGGAAAGGCTACCCACTCTGGTATCCTTGATGCTGGAATCATTGAGAATCCTCTATGGTCAGAGGAGCCTGGAGGGCTGCTGTCTGTAGGGTCACAAAGAGTCCAATGTGACTGAGTGACTAATACTTTCAACACTTTTTATTCAAATTGACACTTCCTTTGTACTATGACTATTTTTTTTTTCTTCATCTTGATGTTGCCCTATGGTTGAAATTCCCAAAGTGCCAGTGTTGGGGTCTTTCTGTGTCTCAGAGAGCTCAGTTATTGATGGACGCTGTGTCTCTGGATTCCCTGCTCACTTTCCTGACCCAGCAATAAAAGGTTTCACTGGGACTCGGCCTTTGAAGAGGTTATTTTGGATTTAAAGGGGTTTCTTAGCACCTTCATTCTCCTTTTGATAACTGTATATAAGAATAATCTCGTACCTTTGCGTTTATTTCCATGGTGCTTCAAGACGGGTGAGGATATGATCTTTTATCCTCTTTCGCACTTAAACACTTTGAAGCATGCCTTTTTTATTTTCTTTAAAAGGGGTGAGAGGGGCCCAGAGAGAAATGGGGTCATTTATCCAAGGTCATGAAGCAAGTTAAAACCAGAGCAGAGAGTGGGACCCTGACCTTGGCTTCCCACCCTTTAATCACATGAACACAAGCTGAATGCAAGCTGTTTCTTTAACTGAGTAGAGTTGGGGTTGAAGCATCCTTAAATAGCCCCGCCGTGGATCCCAGTCTTCCCCAAGGAGACCCGGATGTCCTGGAGAGCTCTGGTCCCAGCTGTGTGACAGCACATTGAATACATGTCATTCCTGGCCCACTCACGGGCTCCTCCTCACCCCCTGTCTGTTTTCAAGCCTGGGAATAGGGTTTACTGTCCAGGCTGTCCCCCCAGGCAGCACTTCACCAGGTCCCCCTGTGAAACCAGGACTCCTCACCTCCCTGAACCCAGAGTCCCCCGCCATTGCCCCAGCAGAGCCCTGAAAGTGGAGATATTACTTGCTCAGTCATGTGGGAAACCCCCCAGGGCCTTGATGAGCAGGGCAAATGCTGGTCCCCTTCTTGAGGATGGGGCTGCTGCTGCTTAGTCACTTCAGTCGTGTCCGACTCTTTGCGACCCCATGGACAGCAGCCCACCAGGCTCCCCTATCCATAGGATTCTCCAGGCAAGGATACTGGAGTGGGTTGCCATTTCCTTCTCCCTCTTAAGGATAAGGTCTTTCTTATACGTCCCTGAGCATGGAGCATGGGGCTGGTATAGAGTTCCTCCTGTTGCTTTGGAGAAAACTTCAGCTTTCAGTGGCCAGGCAGGGGAGCAGCTAAGATCTCTACTGGTGTGGGTGCATTTTGCCCCTGACCCCAACTTTTGGGGGCTCCCCTGGTGACTCAGACAGTAAAGATTCTACCTGCAATGCAGGAGACCGGGGGTTCCATCCCTGGATTGGGAAGATCCCCTGGAGAGGAGCATGGCAACGCACTCCAGTCTTCTTGCCTGGAGAATCCCATGGACATAGGAGGCTGGCGGGCTACAGTCCGTGGGGTCACAAAGAGTCAGACACAACAGAGGGACTCACACACCAGCCCTTTATCTCTGGTACCTTTCCAGGTTGGGTGGGGTGGTCCTGACCAAAGCTGTTTCCCACACTAGAGGTTCGGGCCTTGTCTCTTCAGGATGGGAGTTTGCAGTGTCCGACGTGTAAGACCATTTACGGGGTGAAGACGGGCACCCAGCCTCCGGGGAAAATGGAGTACCACGTCATTCCCCACTCCCTGCCTGGGCATCCAGACTGCAGAACCATCCGGATCATCTACAGCATCCCCCCCGGCATTCAGGTCAGCCCACCCTTGGCCACTGGCTTTTATGACTTCACGTTTAAATGTTTGCAAGTCAGTGTTTGTCTTTAGTTCACCTAGGCCGCTGTAACCAAGGAAAAACACAGAATGTGTTCATGTCCAACCCATCTTTCTGTACACCTGAAACTCACATAACATGGTTAACCAACTATTCCCCGGGGCTCAGTAGTGAAGAATCCGCCTCCAGTTTAGGAGCCGCAGGAGACCCCAGTTCAGTTCCTGGGTCAGGAAGATGCCCTGGAGGAGGGCACGACAACCCACTCCAGTATTCTTGCCTGGAGAATCCTATTAACAGAGGAGCCTGGCGGGCTACAGTCCATGGGGTCACAAAGAGTCGGACGTGACTGAGGTGACTTAGCACACATGCACCCATATAAAATTTAAAAGAAGAACAAAAAACACAGACTTAAAAAAAATATTATTGGATTACAGTTGATATCCCGTGTTGTGTTAGGTTCAGGTGCACAACAGAGTGATTCAGCTGTTGCTGTTCTTTGCTCAGTCATGTCTGACTCTTTGCAACCCCATGGACCGCAGCACGCCAGGCCTCCCTGTCCTTCACTGTCTCCCTGAGTTTGCTCAAATTCATGTCCATTGAGTCGGTGATGCCATCCAACATCTCATCCTCTGTAGCCCCCTTCTCCTCCTGCCTTCAATCTTTCCCAGCATCAGGATTTTTTAAAATAACTCAGCTCTTCGCATGAGGTGGCCAAAGTATTGGAGTTTCAGCTTGAGCATCAGTCCTTGCAATGAACACCCAGGACTGATCTCCTTTAGGATGGACTGGTTGCATCTCCTTGTAGTCCAAGGGACTCTCAGGAGTCTTCTCCAACACCACAGTTCAAAAGCATCAATTCTTTGGTGCTCAGCCTTCTTTATGGTCCAACTCTTACATCCATACATGACTACTGGAAAAAAACCATAGCCTTGACTATACAGACCTTTGTTGGCAAAAATGATGTCTCTGCTTTTTAATACGCTGTCTAGGTTTCTCATAACTAGAAAAGCTATGACACTTCCAAGGAGCAGGTCTCTTTAATTTCATGGTTGCAGTTATATATTTATATATATCCACTCTTTTTTAGATTCTTTTCCCATATAGGTCATTACAGAGTGCTGAGTATAGTTCCCTGTGCTATATAGTAGTTCCTTATTAAATATCTATTTTATATATAGTGGTGCTTATATGTCAATCCCCATCTCCTGCTTTTAAACAGCAGAAGTTTATTTTGCATACTCGTGGAGGCTGAGATGTTCAAGATCAAAGTGCCAGCAGACTCAGGGTCTGGTGGAACCCTCTTCCTGGTTCGTAGACCATCCTCTCACTGTGTCCTCACATGACCATAGGGTGAGGGAGCTGTCTAGTGTCTGCTTTATGAGGTGCTAACCCCATTCATCAGAGAAGGAAATGGCAACCCAGTCCAGTCTTCTTGTGTGGAGAATCCCATGGACAGAGGAGCCTGGCGGGCCACAGTCCATGGGGTTGCAAAGAGTTGGACACGAGTGACTGACTCACACACACACACACACACAACCCCATTCGTGATGGCTTCACCTAATCGCCCCCACCGCGGGACACTCCCAGCTCCTAATGCCATCACATTGGGGGTGAGATTTCAACATATTAATTTTGGTGGGAATCCAGACTTTCAATCTATACCTTTTTGCCCCTGGCCTCTGAAAATTTGTGTCCTTCCTACCCACAAAATACATTCATTCATCCCATCCCAGTAGTCCTCAAAGTCTTAGCACAGTCCAGCACCCATTTTAATTATTTTTTAAAAGTGTTTGTTTATTTATTTGGCTGCTCGGCGTCTTAGTTGTGGTATGTGGGATCTAGTTCCCTGACCAGGGATTGAACTCAGGTCCCCTGCTTTGGCAGTGAGGAGTCTTAGCCCCAGGACAGCCAGGGAAGGGCCCCAGCATGCACTTTAAAATCTAAGTCCAAAGTCTTTTTAAATATTATCTAAACCACAGTGAGATGAGACTGAAGGTATAATTCATCCTGAGGCCACTTCGTCTCCAGCTGTGAACCTGTGGAAGCAAACAATTTACGTGGTAGAGTTTCATCAGACACTGAATCTGCCAACACCTTGGTCTTAAACTCCCCAGCCTCAAGAACTGTGAAAAATGAATTTCTGTTATTTTTGCTGTCATTCTAGAGCAGCCTGAGCTGCTAAGACAATGCTACGCTGTGGTAAGTCTCCTTCCCACCCTGGGGCCCCTCCATCCTGTCTCACCCTCCCCCCTCACCACCAGCCATCCTTACTTTCTTATGCATCCTTCCAGGGTTCTTTGTGCATTTGCAACAAAGACTTCTTCCACTCCTCCTGGCTTCACACAAAGGGTGACGTACCCACCACATTGTTCTGCAAGCTGTATTTTCAAGGCACAATATAGGCTGTAGATCTTCCCATGTCCATAGAGAGAGAACTTCCGCATTCTTGCTTAGCTTTGCATAATCATCCCTTGTATAAAGGGACCATAATTTGTATTCAGCAGTCTCCATGTGATGGGCGTATGGATTGTTTCCAATGTTTTGCTTTAACAAATAATGCCATAATGAATAACCTCTCGCCTGTGAGTATCTCCATAGAATAATTTTCTAGAAGTGGAATCTTTTTTGTCAGATGGTATTTGCATGTGTAAGTTGATAGTCCTTGACTTTTGTGGGCATTTCTTTCTTCTTGGGATTCTTCTAAAGACAGCCCAGAGGAAGAAACTGAACAATTTCCCTGGCAGTAAATATAGATGTGGGGTTTCCCAGGTGGCTTAGTGGTAAAGAATCCACCTGCTAATGCAGGAGATGTGGGTTCCATTCCTGGTCCAGGAAGATCCCCTGGAGAAGGGCGTGGCAACCCACTCCAGTGTTCTTGCCTGGAGAATCCCATGGACAGAGGAGCCTGGTGGGCCACAGTCCCTGGGGTCGAAAAGAGTAGGACCTGACTGAGCGACGGAACAACACCAGACACAAATGTGTCCCTTCCTTCACACATTGAAGCTTTTTCTAAATGTTCTGGGGGCTCCCTGGATTCCTTTATTTACCAAATATTTATTAGTTTATCCTCCTTTCCTCCTTCCTCCTTGCCTTCCTCCCTTTTATCTTTTATTTAACAAATATTTGAGTGTCAACTGTAGGCCAAACTAGGTGCTAGAGGAATAGTGGTGAGTGACACAGACACAATCTTTACTCCTGCGAAGTCCCCCTTCTACTGGGACTAGGAAGAAATAAAACAGGGAAACGTAACAGCCTGCAGAAGAACTGAATAAAAAACACGGTTCTTCTTTGAAGGACTTAGCAACTAGTCAAGAAGAAATAAGTACACTTCACTAAGCTCTAGAGTAAACACTGATGTGCAGCATTGGTAAAAGATGCGGAAAGCAGGGTGGACAAAGGGACAGAGATAGCACAAGGACTTCAGAGTCTGATGGACCCGGGTTCTGATCCTTGGATGATTTTCTCCTTCGCAGGGGGTTTTAGACCTTGACCGCTTGACTCTCCTGAGCCGTGTTTCTTTACCTGCACAACCAGGAAGCCAATATGCAGGGGTTTTGTAAAGATGGGTGATAATGTTTGAGGGTGCACATGAAGGTCCCAGGCACAGGACCAAGGTGCTCAGTACCTGGCCCCCATCATTTTTGGGTATCCTATTTGTCAGGGCAAGGAAGAGGGCCTACGTCTGTCTGTCTGTCTGTCTGGGACAGTCAGAGGAACCTTTCTGGGGCAGGGCCCTCGGTAGTAGGGCAAAGACATGAAGAAATGGAAGAGAAAGTTTTTAGTGTTATATTGTTTGTTTGACTTTTTCATTTATACTGGGATATAACCGATTAACAGTGCTGTGAGAGTTGCAGGTGAACAGCCAAGGACTCAGCCACACATGTACACGAATCCGTTTTCCCCTCCCTTCCAGGCTGCCATGTAACACTGAACAGCTGCTGCGCTGTCCATTTTAAACACAGCAGTGTGTGCATGTCCATCCCAGACTCCCGAACTAGCCCTTCCCTCTCGCGACCAGGAAGGAGGACCATTTTTTAGTTGGCAGGCACAGCAGAGTTTCTGAGGAGAGACAGGAGGGCTGTAGGAGGCCCGTGAAGAAGTTTAATTTGGGTTGAGTTGCCCGGGTGGTGGGGAGGAGGAGGGAGCAGGCAGGGGGCGGAGACAGTGACCTGGTCAGGGGAGGCCCTGACCTCTGGGGCGGGGACCGCAGACTCTCCTCAGCAGGCCGGGGGCGCGGCTGGTCCTTGAAGGTCTTTGGGCGGGTAGTTAGGGTCATGGGAGGTCACGTGGTTGGGATGATACTTTAGCAAAGCCAGTCTGGCCAAAGAGTAGAGATGACCTGACCGCCCACTTAGGGGACCACTGCTTCTGGCAGTGACCCCAGGAGGGCTCTGGACCAGGGTGATGCAGTTGGATATAAGGACAAACGAGACTTTGGGGGTGACTCTAGGGCTGCCAAAGGGGCTGATGGGTAAATGAATGGAAATATGAGAATCGAGAGAAACAGCCCGCGTCCTTGGTGGGAAGCAGGACAGACTGCAGGGGGCAAAGTGTGGGGTGGGGAAACCACCTGGGAGGATGTGGGTTTTTTCCGGGCTTCAGGACCAGAGGGTGGAGAGCCCACATGAGGGTCCAGAGGTGCCCACCTGCTGCCTCTGTAGGCGCCACGGTTCCCCCAGGAAAACCCAGGCTTGTGTCGAAGGGCACTGTCCTGACGTGCCACGTCCATCGCTGGAGACTTCTAGGGCCATGCGGGCTTGGGTTGTCATGAGAAGTGAGAAGTGAGGACCTGTAAGCTCTGCCTTCCTTGCAGGAGATGATTCTCCAGGGGAGAAGCTGTGCGTGCGCCCAGGGCACGTTGTGACTTCTGAGCTTAGCTGGTGCCAGGAAGGCGTCTGCGTTGGCCACACGACAGGCAAGGCCCTGGTGGAAGGGGAGCGGAGCCATGGTCAGAACTGGCCACCAGTTGTCCAGCCTGGCTTAGAAACAGCCTTGGCCGCGGGAGTGTTGTCAATGTGCTTTCACGCAAACGTGAAATTCAGAAGTGTCCGGTCCTGCGCCTCCCAAAAGACACTGCTGCCTCTTTCTGACCCCTGTAATCTCTCCTTCCCTGAGGCCTCACTGGACACATACTGCTCAGTTTGCAAAATCATAGACAGTCTGAATCACGCCATTCATGTTTGTTTTAATCACATGATTGTTAAGTCATTTTGGAACTGTCATGTATAGTAAGGGAAAATGGGAAATCTGTGTTTTCCTGCAGTTTGGTTATGACTCATTTGCTCACTCATTCATTTGTTCAGCCGGGAGATACTGGTCTCCTGTGTGAGAGCTTGTGCCAGGAGCAATGTGGAATCATCCATATTATATTGGCTTTATCTAGTAGGGATTTTAAAACAGAGTTTCATCCCCTCTGAGGAGGGGCTGGGCTGCTCAGAAATGATAGACAAGCATGTGTGTGTAGGGGGGAAATATGTGTATTGATACTGGGAGGAAATCCCTCATTTTTCATGAGCTTCTCAAACGGGCCTGTAGACCATTCTGAACCCTGATTAGGAAGACTGGCTTTTGGCTAAACTCTGATTCAGTTTCTTTCTCACTTGGTGGCCTGAGAAGGCTTGCTTCACAGGGGTGTTGGGTGGTGACAGTTGAAATCTTAGGAGCTTTTTAGTCATGCAGATGCCAAGGCATATCATTCAATAAGAAAAGAAAGCAAAACCCATGAGGACCTAGGAAAAAATCCCCGAGAGTCATTCAGGTCCTTCAGATCTCTCGGCCCTTGGCTCAGAGCTCAGAAGCACTTGGGTCATTCTGAGTAGTTCAGCAGTGAAACAATCCAGAGTACGTGCCAGGAAACCTGGGCAGAGGTTTTGGCAAAGCTGTTAACACTACGGAAGTCATTTAACCTCTGGGGCTGCAGTTCTCCTCTTTTGTGAAACAAAAGAGCTGGAAGAGATGCTGACGAAGATGATATAAACAGCTCCTGGGCTGTGAGAGTGCCCCAGGCTCACCTAACATCACATCCTAGAAGGTGAGCATCACCCGTCTTCCCCCCTTGAGGGCTGGGACACCAACAGCCCCAGAGACAGCAGCTCCGGCTCACACCGCTGGAAGGCCCCAGCTCTGAGTCCGGACCCAGGTCCAAGAACTCCAGTATGTGTTAAACCACCGCCCCATCGCTCTTTGGGTCTGTTCTCTGTCTAGACCCGATGACTATTATTATTTGGATAATAATATTTGGATCCATTAGTATTTGGGTCAATCACAACCCGTATCTGAAAGACTTTTTAAAATGCTCTTTGCTCTCTTTTTGCTTTCAGGGGCCAGAACACCCGAATCCTGGGAAAAGCTTCAGCGCCCGTGGCTTCCCTCGACACTGTTACCTCCCGGACAGCGAGAAAGGGAGAAAGGTGAGGGCAGGTATCAGTGTCCTGGCCCCAGCTCTGCTCCCCGTGGTGCTGAACAGAGTCGGGTCTCTGAACTCTAGGCACCCCTGTAATCAAGTCACCATAGAGAGACTTCCCTGATCGTCCAGCGTCACAACTCTGCCTTTCCATGCAAGGGTGCAGGTTCGGTTCCCGGTCGGGGAACTAAGATCCCCGACGCCTTGCAGCCAAATCACCAAAATGAAAACAGAAGCAATATTGTAACAGATTCAATAAAGACTTTACAAATGGTCTGGGTCAAAATAAAAAAGTCCCAAGTCGTAGTCCAGTCAGCTAGAGGTGTGAAAAGATATGATTACAATTTTATTTTTGTAGGATGGTGGGGGCTGGACTTTTGGCTTTTTTCTCTCCTGGATTTTATGGGCAATAATTCATCTATTTTAGAAATCTGTCTCTAGAGCTTTGCTGCTTAGTGGCAGGGCCTGGGAAGAGCAGTAGTAGCAACACCTGGGAGCTCGATGTAAATACAGGACCTTAGAACCCACTTCATTTTAACCAGATCTCGGGTGGCCTGACAGCACCTGAACGCTTGGGAAGTACTGCTCTGGGGCAAGGATCTTAATTTGTGGCATTTTACTTTTTCTGTAATGAATATTTTTATTGTTATTTAGTTGCTAAGTCATGGCTGACTTTGTGACCCCAGGGACTGTAGCCTGTTAACCTTCCCTGTCCATGGGATTTTCCAGGCAAGAGTAATAATAATTATAATAATAATAACCCCCTGGAGTGGGTTACCATTTCCTTCTCCTGGGGATCTTCTCGACCCAGGGAGCCAACCCAAGTTGCTGGCATTGGCAGGCAGGTTCTTTACCACTGAGCTACTAGGGACTCAGTCAATGAACGCTTTGACTTTCCCCAAAACAGCAGAGGGAAAATCGCTGGGTTTCTGGATTCCTAGTGATTCCTGGGGAGGCTTCAGTGGTTCCATGAACTCGAAAGTTAAAGTTACAACTTCATGTTCATTTTTTCTGTGGGTAAGTCCAGAAAAATCACTGGGTTTTTAAAAACCTTTCCTGATCTCGAAAGCGAAAAGAACTGTTGATTTATTGGCCAAGAGATGCGTCTTGGTTAGCACTCTCTAGGTCGTGGCATATAACAAATGGCCTGTAAATCTCGGTGGCTTCCGCCACCACGTTTATTTCTCATACAGTTTGCGAGTTACTGATTGTGTCTCAGTGGCTGCTGTGGGCTAGCTTTCACGGATCCAGTTCTAAAACACAGGGAGAAAGAGTTTTGCTTCCGTGGTCCATCCCCCACCGCCGGTGGAATGGGACAGAGGACCGAGAGGGAATCCAAGTGGAGTGTACAATACCACCAAAGCTTCCCCCTGAAGCTTGTTACTTCTGCTCATGCTGTTTAGCTGTTCAACAATTGTGCTAAGTTTTGTTCGATTCTTTTGTGACCCCATGGATACCATGGAGGCCCGCCAGCCTCCTCTGTCCATGGGATTTCCCAGGCAAGAATACTGGAGCGGGTTGCCATTTCCTTCTCCAGAGGATCTTTCTGACCCAGGGACTGAACTCATGTCTCTTGCATTGGGATGCAGATTCTTTACCACCTGCAGCACCAGGGAAGCCCTGTACCTCTCATAGGCTCCCGCAAGTCACGAGCGAGCCAGACCAGGAGCTGGTGTCCTGCTTACCAGGAGGCTCCTTGGCAAAGAGTGTGCCTAGAGTCTCTCACGGCGGGAGAAGCAGGGAGTCTGGGACAACAAGAGAATCAACCATGTCATCCTGAAGAGGTGCCCAGCGCAGTGTTCCCAGATTAGGAGTCAGGGCCAGTCCTGGTACCCCTTTGCCCAGAGCCAACAAGTCTCTACACCCAAGGCCTGCAGCCCCAACTGCTGGCTAAACGACCCCACCATCAGGTCCCATGGTTAAAACTGGAATCCTCTTGTGAAGAGCTGTTTCTCCACCAGGTCCTTCTTTGTGTTAATGACATACAGTAAGTCCCCTACATGCAAACCTCCAAGTTGTGAGCTTTCGAAGACGCGCACGTGCGTTCCACCAGCATCAGGCGTGAGTGACACTGCAGCTCCCCTGTCTCCTATTGCTGACAGTCCCTCAGCTCCACCGCCTCCCACGTCCTCTCCCTCCTCTAATCAGTGACTCTTCTGGCCTGTCCACTCGATGCCAGCCCGTGCGCCAGCTGTCGTACTGTAGGCTTTTCAAGGTGCTGTTCTGTTCAGTTCAGTCGCTCAGTCATGTCCGACTCTTTGCGACCCCATGGACCGCAGCACGCCAGGCCTCCTTGTCCATCACCAACTCCTGGAGCTTGCTTAAACTCATGTCCATCGAGTCGGTGATGCCATCCAACCATCTCGTCCTCTGTCATCCCCTTCTCCTCCTGCCCTCAATCATTCCCAGCATCAGGGTCTTTTCAAATGAGTCAGTTCTTCCCATCAGGTGGCCAGAGTATCAGAGCTTCAGCTTCAGCATCAGTCCTTCCAATGAATATTCAGGACAGATTTCCTTTATGATAGACTGGTTGGCTCTCCTTGCAGTCCAAGGGACTCTCAAGAGTCTTCCCCAACACCACAGTTCAAAAGCATCAATTCTTTGGTGCTCAGCTTTCTTTATAGTCCAGCTCTCACATCCGAGGTACTGTACTGTAAGATTAAAAATGTTTTCCTTATTTTTTGTTTGTTCTTCATGTATTGTTTGTGTGAAAAGTATTATAAACTACTATTATGGTACAGTACTGTATAGCTGTTTGTGTTAGTTGGGTTGGGCTTATGAACACATTGGACTTACGGATGCGCTATCTGGACAGAACTCAATCATATCTAGGGGACTTACTATGTTCTGTATCCCTGGAACCAGGTTGGATGCATGAACATCATAGATTCTGGCCTTGAGCCACACATTCCTCCCTGCACTGCCCTCCGGACCACTTGAATCTTTTCCTAATCCTCCAAACTATTCTGTCGCCAGAATAGTGATCCTGAAACACAGTTTCTCACATCAGTCTCCTTTGTTTAATGGAAATAAAGTGAGAGAAAACAACGCAAAACTGTTAGGATGGTTTCCCTTCCTTCTTTACAAGGATCGTTTTCTCGGTTCAGTAGACAAGACCTCCCACAACTTGGGTCTGAATTGTCCCTTCCCACCAATTCCTCGCCTTTATCCCCTCATGCCTGCTGTTCTTAGACCCTCACTCTGGGCTCCTTTGCAGAGCAAGGTGATAGAGCGTAAGCTTTGAACCCAGACCAGCCTGGCTTCAAATCCTACTCCTGCTGCTTACCACATGTGGGAAATGGACATGAAACTGATTTAAGTCTCAGTCTCCCAGTCTTTGAAAGAGTGTGATCATTTCTAGCTCTGTGGACAGGATGTTGTAAGAATTAAATGAATTCTTTTTTGTGAAGAGTTTCTTCACATTTGTGAAGAATCTGCCTGCAATGCAGGAGACCTGGGTTCAATCCCTGGGTCGGGAAGATCCCCTGGAGGAGGAAATGGCAACCCACTCCAGTACTCTTGCCTAGAAAATCCCATGGACAGAGGAGCTTGTCAGGCTACAGTCTAAGGAGTTGTTGAGTCGCATACAGCTGAGCGACTAGCACATACAGCATTGATGAAAGGCTTCCTTGGTGACTCAGTGGTAAAGAATCCACTGGCCAAGGCAGGAGATGTGAATTTTATCCCTGGTTTGGGACGATACCCTGGAAAAGGAAATGGCAATCTACTCCAGTGTTCTTGCCTGGGAAATTCCATGGACAGAGGAGCCAGGCGGGCTGCAGTCCGTGGGGTCACAGAAGAGTCGGATGCAACTTAACAACTAAGTAATAACAACAGTAAGTATCTGTGAAGTGCCCAGTGTGGTGGCAGCCGTGAGCTATGCCTTGGATGACATGTCTTCCCTGCACCTGTACATTCTTCTCTGTTAATACAACTCAAATCCTACCCACTCTCTGAGACTCAGCTCACAAGCATCCCCTCCATGAATTCTATCCTGACGCCCACCTGCAGGTCAGCAGAGTCATGACTGAGACCAGAATGTAAAGGCAGGCAGTCCTTTACAGTAAAGAACCCACCTGCCAGTGCAGGAGATGTAAGGGGCACAAGTTCCATCCCTGGGTCGGGAAGATCCCCTGGAGGAGGGCGTGGCAACCCACTCCAATGTTATTGCCTGGAGAATCCCATGGACAGAGGAGCCCCATGGCCTATGGTCCATGGGTTTGCAGAGAGTTGGACACGACTGAAGTGACTTAGCATGCATGATTCTGGGCCCTAACGTTAGTTGAGTGGATACATCAGGCGCTGCTGTGAAACCACTCTCGTGTAGGGCCCCCTTAAGATGCTCACAACCTTTGGGGGTAAGTGGTACCACTGAAAGCTCAGAGAGGTCATGTAACTTGTCCAAGGCCTCACGATTGGTCCATGACAGAGTCAAGCCTGAACCTGCCAGGTCCCTGACTCCACTTCCCGATTCCTGTCCTTTCCCTGTGCTGCTTGGAGCACTATCGTGCTGGGAGGGCTGGGACCCCAGGGCGGGGAGCGCATCCTCCCTGCGGATGGTCTTTGAGCACAGCGTGTCTGGCGCTGATCTCCCGTTTTCGCTCAGGTCCTGAAGCTGCTGCTCGTGGCCTGGGACCGCCGCCTCATCTTCGCCATCGGGACATCCAGCACCACGGGCGAGTCAGACACCGTCATCTGGAATGAGGTCCATCACAAGACAGAGTTCGGCTCTAACCTCACTGGCCACGGCTACCCGGACGCCAACTACCTGGATAACGTGCTGGCCGAGCTGGCCGCCCAGGGCATTTCCGAGGACAGCGCTGCCCAGGAGAAGGACTGAGCTGGGGGGGGATGGGGCTTCGGGCTGGCAGGGGTGTGGGGACCACAGGGCAAGAAGTGGGGGGAGTCAGGGTGGAAGCTGGTACCATGCCCTCCCGAGCCCCCTGTTCGGGCTCCATCCCCCATCCTTCCGGCCACAGCGGGGAGCCAGAGTGAATAAGGGGATGTCATTCACAAACCTCATCCAACATGCAGCGGCCACGGCACGGGGTGAGGGCCGCCTTCCGTTTGTTCCGTGGAGTTTCGGTGCTGGGTAGGCAGGGGCTCCTCCCCTCCCCCGCCCCCAGCAGGGGGCACAGTCAGCACACGTGCGGTAGGGCACCCCTTTCCCTGGCCTTGTGAAGTCCGAGGCGCCCGTCTCTGCCGGCTTCTTGCTGCTTCCGCTCTGCTTGGAGAGCGGAGTTTCTACTTCTCTCTCCTCCCCTGAAGGTGAGGAGCTCTCACTGTGCAAGACTGAGGGGCAAAGGGGCGAACCGCCGAACTGCGGCAGCCGATCTCTCGATGTACAGCGAGGAAGTGCTTCTCGCTAAGAAGGTTCAAGCAGCGAGGGCTTCCGGGAGCATCTCAGCTCCCGTCGCGGTCCTGGCTGCTCCCGCCTCCCGCCCACCCCTCTGCCCTGGCCAAAGAGGCATCCGATTCTCTTATGCAGACGGAAGGACTCTGGGATTCCTCTCAGGGGCGCGATGTCTCCCGCCCCTCTCTGATCAGACCAGAGCCTGCGTCCCACTTAGCGTCTGAATTAGTCCTCAGGGAGAGGAGCCCAGCCCTACCAACTCATCCCAGACCAGCTCAGAGATTCCGTGTGATTCATCCAGTCACTGTGAGTGGGGCCCAGGCTGGCCTTCGCGCCATCTGTGGGCGTTGTGTGTGCGCATGCGAGTGTGCACGCCGCTCGGCCAGGCTCCGCCGCTCGGCCAGGGTGGCGGAGGGTCCCATCATGATCTCACACTCTGGTTCTGCAAACTGTCGGACCCCAGTTCTGATGGGAATGAAACAGCCAGGCGGCGGTCTGTGGACGTGCGTCACCGTCTGACGTCCGTCCGTAGTCAACGTGAACCCAGACCGAGACAGAGCTGTGCTTGGGGGATGCGTAGGGTGCAGGCTGGATGGACCCCTGTGTATCTCTCTCTCAGATATACAGGACGGATCTGAGCCGGTCCACGAGGACCTCAGCGGGTCTCCGTGCACGTTGTCTAATGAGCCTGGAGGGGGTGCAGGGACCCTCATCTCCCTCTTCAATGACCGGCTGGCCCAGTGCAGGAGGGAGCCTCCAGCCCTTTCCAGCAGGGTCGGGACCACCTTGGGGTCCAGTCCAACCTGTGTCCGGGTTATGTCCCAAGACCCTGCCTGTCCTCTCCCCCACATTCCCTTCAGCTCCCATGAAGGAGACAATTGGGGGTCAGAGAGGAGAGACGGGGGGTGAAGAAGGGAACCCCAATTCTGCCCCCTTTGAAAGTGGATCCTCTGAACTCCGTGTTTGGGGAAAGTTCCTCTGGATCCTGGTTCAAATTTATATACCTCGTGTCTGGGGGTCTGACATATATATACACACACATATATTTCATAGTATTTGGAAGGTTTTCGATGCTAGAGAAATGGAAATGGAAAAGCCTTCAGACGTGGTACTGAAGTTAGCGGCAGCGAAGCTTCTCCGAGAGCCGGCTCAGAGTGTCCTGCTGTCAGGCCTGCAGACATTCTGACGGGAGGTGGCCAGGGGGTTCGCTCAGGTGTCACCCCGTTCCTGGGGTGCACTGGTGCTGAGCTCATCCTCCTCTTCCACGTGGCGGAAGACGTGAAAGTGTTAGTCGCCAAGTTGTTCTGGGGATATCAGTTAGCTCCAGCGAAGGGCGCTCTGGCGGGAGGCCTTCCAGCCTCACCCATCAGTCATTTATCTCACCAGCAGACCAGGAGACTGGCCCTCAGCCCACCGCACTTCCGGGCAGTTTCCTGCCGCAGCCGGGAAGGAAATATCCGAACTCAACGGGAGAGCCGTCCCTTAGCATTTGATGTCAGCCCAAGCCCGTTGCCGGACCACCCTGTGCCAGAGATGAGCTTCATCGTAAGCCCGGCCACACCCCCACCCTCCTTCGGCATCCTTGTCCGAGATCTCCGGGCTCCTCACTCACAGGAACGCGGAAACACACCCACAGTCGGCGGGTAGACAGAGCGCTGTGGCGGGAGATGGGGCGAGAAGGGAGACTGGTAACTGGCAGAGAGACTGATTTCCCTGGGTCGGGCGGAAGAAGGTGGGGGTGGAGAAGGAGCCGGGCCCAGGGCAGAAAGAAGAGGCTGCAGGGAAAAGGCAGGCAGGCGGTGACCCTTTGAGAGTCGTTTTCACACCCTCCAGCCTCCTGCTCTCAGGATGCCGACTGTACTGATGGCCTGTGTCTCTTCCGGAGATGCTCGTAGGGGCTACCTCATCTGCTGCTCTTCTAGTGGGACTTTCTGGGCAGAAGGAACCGTTCATGTCCCTTATAACACTGTGCCAGGCGAGGGGGGTGGGAGGGGCATGCCTCTGCCCTCTCTCTCATGCCAACCTGGAAAGGTACAGCCCTGGGCTGGGCGAGAGCCCCCGCCGGCAGAGGTCTTGCGCATCCATCACTCGGACGCAGGAAGTCCTCCCGCTGGAAGCCCGGCTGTGTTCCCTGCCCCGTGCAGGGAATCCCACGGCTGTCCGCTCATCTCTTAGCACCAGCAGCCTCGTTTCTCCCCTTCCGAGTCTCCAGGGAGGACACGTGGGACTGGAGACAAACCCTGTTAGTGCTCATCCCTTGAAAGGTGGATCGTGTGAGTGTGTGTGTAGTTGCCTTTGTGTTTTCATCCCCCTTTTGATGCCTAGACTTCTCTGTGGTTTCACGCCTGGTCCCAAGTGCTCGTCCTGGTGTTGTGGGCATGAGATGGTTGGGGGGAGGTCCTGTGTGGTACAAAGAAGGGCCCTGTCCTCTTTTCCTGGTCTGTGGTCCCTGGCATTGATGGTGGGGCGGGGGTGGTTCTGGGGAAGAGCGGGTGAGTGTCCTGTTGTAAATCACTGTAACTGGTGTGTTTTGAATTCCTTGGTGTTGCTCTGTGAGTGGACATCGCCACCTGGTGCTCATGAGGTTTATGTGCGGAACAATAAACGGCAAACAACAACCGCAAACTGTCTCAGCCTGCTTTCTGTCCCCTGGTGCGCCTACCGGTGAGGACTTGGGGTACCTCTCCAAGTCCGTGAGCAACCGCAAGTCCTTCCACTGAACGGGAGAGTCCCTTTTTCTGCTCTTTTTTACATCTTCTTTAGCCACACATCCGACCAAGTAACCTACTTTGACTTCTTGTTCCTCTAAAGAAGCAGATGACCTGACGGGGGAAATAAGTGAAACAGTAGGGGAAAGACCTTCTTAAAAACCGTCAGTGTTTGCTTCTTAAAGTTCCCTTCACTTGACCACAATATCGGGTATGTTTCAATAACTTGCAGGCTGTGTTTTTCAGTTGTACTCAATTGCTAAGTGGTGTCCAACTCTTCAACCCCAGGGACTGTCCCCCACCAGGATCCTCTGCCCATGAGATTTCACAGGCAAGAATACTGGAGTGGGTTGACATTTCCTCCTCCACTTTTTCAAATCTTGATTCAAATGAGAACGCAAAGACAAATGCAATTGCAAAGGGGCTTTTGTCACCCAAATGTGTCCTTGTGTCTGACAGTCCCTGGAGTGTGGCTTTCTTGGAAGTCTGGATCAGTGTTTCCACAGACTCCAGCCTGAGCTAGCCAGTCAAGAAAGCAGGGCTCGGAGAGTGGAACCTATGAACCACCCATCAGGGTTTGGATTTTGTAAAGTGACTTGATGAATGTAAACCTCAGGCCGTCTGATTCTGATTTCCTGGGGATGAACAGAGTCACATTCCTTAAGTACACATTTTAATATATATTTACATGCAACGTTGTTAGAAGTATGAGTTGGTGAAGAGCTTTTCATTTCAGTGGGCTGTTAGTACGTTAAAAGTCTCAGAGGTTAAAGGTATACTTTATTTATCCGACTCAGTGATCTTCAAAGAACTTACAGGAAAGTCAGTATTGGCAGGAAAGTGGTTAGCTTGGCTGAAACATACCCACAAATCCCCAGAGGTGAGGGACGGCATTTTAATGCTTAAGAAGCAGGGGTTTGGTACAGAGGTTGTAGAAATCTCTGTCTGACTGAGAGCACAGCTCCAGCTCTGAGTCACTCCTCTGTATTGCAGTGGGAGTGACTGTGTGACCTCCCTCTTGCCTTCCCACAGTCTGGGACAGTTCAAGCTCCCAGAAGGACCTGGTAGAAGCCAAACTCGTGACTGCAGGTGTTACATGAGGACAGGACAAATTACCCTTCATAGAAGATAACTCGCCCATGACAGTCAATTTGGTGAAGAAATACATAGCTTTAAAAAAAATGGTGCTGAATATTAACAGAGGCACCCTAATAATTACAATTAGGTGAGACCACTATTAAAATTAGGCAAAGCGTCAAATGCCAGGTGACAATCATGCATCCTGGGAGGTGTCCCAGGGGAGTCAGTGTGGGACTGAAATAAATGTGCCACAAATGATGTTGGGTGTCTGTTTTCATTTCATTTCATTTAACGTTGATTTGATCATGCCAAGCTGCTTTCTGCTGGAGAACAGAAACGGACAAGGTGCATAATAGGAGTTTTTCTCTCTCACTCAGATTTTGGGGGCGAAGCCACACTTTGATGTGGGTTTACTTTGACTTCTTGCATCTTTCTTGTCTTCCACCCTCAGGAAACATTTTGGAATGTGACGTGTGTGTACCTGTGCGTTGAGGGGGGTGTAATTCTCCCACGTGATGTGAGAATAGAAAGGGGAGATGGTCATCTATGGAAGAGGGAGGGATGGCACCTGGGTAACAGAACATGAGACCGTCATGCTTGATCTAGCCAACCCTGCAGCTCTTCTCTTTGTCCCACTTATGATAAGCTGAGAAGATGAAACCAGGCAGCTGACTGTGGGTAAGAATTCCAGTTCCCCAAGAGCACCAGAATCTTTTCCAGCTTTCACCCTTTCTTTACTCACTGCTGGTCTCCAAACCACCTCTTCTCCCTTGACCTTCCTAAGAGAGGTTTAAATGTTAAAGTATTCTCTGAGGACTTTACAACACTAGTCTGAACTCCGAGAGTGGCCTGGTCTCACTAAGTCTTAATTGTGGGGAGCTTGAAAAGAGTGGGCTTGGTCTAGGCACCCTTTCCTGGTTCAGAGGACTCTGAGATGGTCCAGAGGAGATGCCACCGTCATCAGTGCCTCAAAAATGAAATGTGAGGGCCAAGCAGGACCTCCTGCATCTTCTGGGAGTGTGAAATCCAGACTGCTTTAAAAAAAAACACACACAAAATTGTGGGAGGGTAACATTTAAAGACATCCTTAGAGCTCATGAATTGGAAACCATGACTGACCTCAGATTAAATGCATCTTCAAATCCGAATATGAATCTTCTCCCTTGTCCTTTTTACACATAAGCTTTCAGGTGAAGATAATGACACACAGCGAGAAGAGATGACCCCCTCAAGTTTTAGGATGACTTTTGCTTAAAAAGTCACAACTGCCCTCAATCCCTTTCCCAGCTCTGTCCATGTAGCTCTGTTTATTTCCTGGCCCAGAGACCTAGAAAGTCAGTTCCACAAGGACTGCTGTTGCACTTGACACAGCAATATTTAGGAGGGCAGAAGTGGAGAGAAAAAGAAATGAAAGACAAGTTGAAGGCCTGACCAGGGAGGAGAGAAACGGTGTCCTGAGAGAGTCTAAGCAGGACTCTGTGCCTGCTCTTGATCAAGGGCATCTCCATTCACAGCAGTGCCTGCAGCCAAACTCTGCTTCTCGTCCTGGAGCACCTGGTATCCCTTTTTCCTGGACTTCCGGGCGCCGTAGATGGCCAGGGCAATGATCCCTGCCAGGGCGATGGTCACCCCCAGGGTGAGCCCCACGGCTGCTCCTCCAGACAGACCCCCACCATCTCCGTGGACGACTCTCATGGCCCTGCGAAGCTCCAGGGGCTCCCCCAGCCTCCACTGGTGGGACTGGGGATCTTTAATCCAGGAGCTGGCCGTCTCGGAGTTAGTCACCAGGACAGTGTTGGTGGCTGCCTGACTCATGAGCGGTGGTCGGGTGTAAGGAGGAAGCCTGACAGGAGGCAGAGACCCTCCTGTAAAAAGCCCGGCTTTGACGCAGTAAGACACTTGGCACCCATCACTGATGAGGGCGAGGTGTTGGCTGAAGCCCCCCGGACACTTTCTTAGAGAAGGCGCCCCTAGATCTTTGGATGCGGCAGAATCCACCAAGGGGTTCCCCACCGCACAGCTAAAGAACCCACCAAAGGGGACAGAAAATCTATATCCCAACTCATAGTCATGAGAGGCACATACCTTGAGGTTTTCAAAAAGTGTCAGTTGAAAATAGCCGGCTGGGCATGACTGGGCATTGGTCAGAGGGTTTATGCTCTTACTGCTGAAGAGCCCGCCAAAAAGGAGCCCTGAGTTTTCGGGTACTTGCCCACTGGCTGCGCACCAAAATGCCCTGAATTCAGCCCTGGCTACTCGGAACACGTCTTCACACACCGTCTTGCAGAAGATGTAGAGGGTACACTTGCGCGAACACTCCAGGTGGTTGTACCCCTCTTCGTGGGTCTGGGCGAGCAGCTGGACTGGGGAGTAACCAGAGGGGCAGGACATGCTGCCGGTCAGCGGATTCTTCTGCTCCAGGTTCTGGCAGAGCTGGACAACCTCATTCCCCGAGAACTGGGTGCATTCCTGGTAAACTCCCCCGAAGGAGAAATTGGTCATCTTCCCCTCACAAGAGCCATCGTCGGTGTTGGCTTGGAAGTTGAAGTTGAGCGAGTTGAGATCTGTGCAGCCGGGGTAGGTGTTGATTGCATAATACCTGCGCACAGCCGCTTCCACCGTCTTCGACAGCTTTCTCACCAAGGGCCCCGGCAGGTCAGGCAGTCGTTCGGGGTTGATGAAGAAATACAGAGGCAGGCCAGCTCTGTCCATGGCCACCAGGTGGTTGGTGATGCCCTGTTGCCAGGCCTGGAGGGTGATGCCTGGGTAAAACGGAAGTCCTCCGATGCTCTGAACTCTGGAGTTGGTTCGGTTGGAGAGGTAGCTCTTGGTGAAGGCGTTCTGTGAGGTGTAGTTCTCCTCGAATTTGAAGTTGACAATGTTCAGGAAGGTGATTCCAGCGGATGTGGTCAAGGCGCTGCGGCTGCTCTGGCTGTCCTGCAGGAAGGACGACCTGATGTGATCCTCCTGGATGAGCGCGGCCCCTGCATCCACACTGGTGATGACATGGGTACCGTAGTTGAGGACCAGGAGTTCCGCCAAGTAGGTGGCCATCCGGGTCTGGTTGTTCTCCAGACGCTCCGAGATGTCCATAAGCTCCTTCTTAAACACCCAGCTTAGCTCTGTATCTGGGTTGATTTTGACCGTGTAGACCAGGTTTCTTACCTGAACCTGGGTAGTTACAGCTTGGTCCTTCACCTGAAGGGTCTTTATCCTCTGGAACTCAGGGGAGAACTTGCCGTTGACTTTGGAAAAAAGAGAGAGCTCCATGTTGATGGAGTTGGAGGTGGTGCTCTGGTAGTTAACCCAGGACTCCAAGATTTTGGAGTTCATCTCCAAGTTGCTCTGCTTCTGGGGAATGGTGAAGATCTCATCCGGGATGATGTACTGCCCATCTTCCGTGGTCCTGCAGTGGGTGTAAGTCAACTCCATCACCCGTCCCATGTCCACATTCCGCAGGTTATCCCAGCCGCCTCCAGGTAAGACGGACAGAACAGGCAATTTTAAGGCATTCTTGCAATTTTGAAACCCAGCCTCATCAGTCGCTCCCCGAGATGTGTCCATTTTAGCCCATGTTGCCACCGCCCAGACTAGAAAGGCACCCCTGAAGCTGTTCATGGCTCAGATAGCCCCGGCCTGACCCACTGGTCCTAAGTTGCAGCCAGCAGGCTTGGGGCAGACTGAACCGATGGGAAAGAAAGCCGTTGCTGAAACAAAAAGTTCAGCAGTTCTCCTAAAGCCACCAGTTCCTCTTTGGGCTAGTCTAATCTCAAATGGGGAAATGAGAGTTGATTTGAACACTAATGTCCATGAGGACTTTGAAAAAATTGTGTGGCCCTAGACAGCAAACCCAGCCCTGTATCCTGAACAGTCAGCTAGCCTAACTGCCCCTGACCTCCCCTAGCACCCAGCTGGTTACTCTGCAGCAGCAGTGGGCACTCAGAAAAAATAAAACCACACACCTTACCGTTACCCCCATGAGAGCATTCCAGCTTTGAAAGAAAGCTTTGGTTTCATTTTCTGCTCACTCTCTTGATGGTTCTGCTTTCCCCTAACGACTCTCTGCTGGGACTTCAGTATCACTGTCCTTTTCCTCTGTGTATTGTTAGCAATAACTTGGTACCTGCTCTTGTAACTTTAATTTTTTCATTCCATAGTTAAGTGCATGTAACTTAGACAGATGTGTAAAAATGAATGTGGTCTTCACCGCTCAGTTTTTTAAAGCAGCAATTCATTTGTTGTGTTATAAGGAGAAGATAACTTCATGAATTTGCATTTGTGTACTAATGCTAAGTCTATTAAACATCATTTAAAGCAGTGTTTTCAGTCCCATTGACCTAAAACCAGGCTTGATTGGAGCTCAGCTCTGTCAGTTCTGTGGGACAACTAGCACATTGAGTGGAAGCCGGGAAGTCCAGAGGAGTTCATGGAAACTCCCAATTGCACCCTTATGTTGCCCTGATGGCTCCCGACTGCACCCTTACACCACGAACCAGACGCAGGACTGAGACTGCAAAAGCCATGTTTCAATTCACAGGCCGCCCGTCTGCATTCTGGAAAGGCAATTTCAAGGAATTGAATTACCGCAGGATTGTCACTGAGGCAGCTGACAGGTGTTTTCAGAAATAATGAGGCCAGTTGCCTAGCTTCACAGGCGGAGCATCACTAGTTGCTATTAAAACCTTGATGCAATCTAGAAAAAATGATACAGATGAACCTGCTTGCTTAGAGAACAGACATAGCAAACAAATGCATGGGCACCAAAGAGGGAAAACGGGATGGGGTGAAGGGGGAGTTTGGGACTGACAAGTGTGTGTATGAAGTAGATCACTAATGAGAACTAACTGAAGAGCCCAGGGAAAAAGAAAAGATACAATCTGTTTGTAGGACATGTATCAGGTTAACCTTAAAAATGAGTTCCAATGTACATTAGATAAAGACAAATACTGCTGGATTTCACTGATATGAGGGACCTAGTATAGTCAAATTCACAGTCAGAAAGTACATTGGTAGATGCCAGGGGGGTGGGGAGTTAGTGTTTACTGGGGACAGAGCTTCAGTTTAGGTGTGTGAAACATTCCAGAAATAGATGATGGTGAGACTGACAGCAATGCAAATGCATTTGGTGCCACTGAACTGCACAGGGAACTATGGTTAAAGTAGTATGCTTCATGTTCTGTGACTTTCACCATGGCGGCTCAGACAGTAAAGAATCTGCCTGCAGTGCAGGAGACCTGGGTTCAACCCTTGGGTTGGGAAAATCCCTTGGAGAAGGGAATGGTAACCCACTCCAGTGTTCTTGCCTAGAGAATTCCATGGACAGAGGATACAGTCCATGTGGTGGCCAAGAGTCAGACATGACTGAGCAACCAACACTTTGCCACAATAAAAGAAAAAAAACCAAAACGCCTGTTTTATGTGGCCATGTGATACTGCAGTCCTACTCCTAGGCATATATCTGGAGAAAATTCTAATTCAAATAATACATGCATCCCAATGTTCATAGCAGCACTATTTACAATAGCCGAGACATGGAAGCAATACGTGCCCATCGACAGATGAAAGGATAAAGTATATGGATTTTGTGTGTATTCTCAGTCACTCAGTCATGTCTGACTCTGCAACTGGGTGAACTGTGGCTTGTCAGGCTCCCCTGTCAGTGGGATTTTTCAGGCAAGAATAGTGGAGTGGGTTGAGATTTCCTCCTCCAGCAGATCTTCCCAATCCAGGGATTGAACTCGCATCTCCTGCATTGCCAGGAGGATTCTTTACCACTGAGCCACCTGGGAAGCCCATATAGATTTAGATGTAATGGAATACTGTGTGCTAATTGCTAAGTTGTGTCTGACTCTTTGAGACCCCATGGACTGTAGCACCAGGCTCCTCTGTCCATGGAATTCTCCAGGCAAGAACACTGGAGTGGGTTGCCATTTCCTAGTCATAAAAAAATGAAATAATGCCATTTAGTGAAGTAAGTCAGACAGAGAGAGACGAAAATCATATGATTTCGCTTATTTGTGGAATCTAAAGAAAATACAAACGAACTTAACAGACTTGTGGTTGGCAAGGGAGAAGGCGGGTGAGGGAGGGATGGACTGGGAGTCTGGGGTTAGCAGATATGAACTATTATATATAGAAGGATAAATAACAAAGCCTGATTGTATAGCACAGGGAAATATAGTCAGTATACTGTGATAAATCATAATGGAAAAGATATGAAAAAGAATACATATATATGTAACTGAGTCATTTTGCTGTATAGTAGAAATTAACACAACATTGTAAATCAACTACTCTTTAATAAAATAAAATTTAAAAAGCCTTGATGGTGTTCTGTGGACCCAGAAATATCCCATCCCGGGTCTATTAACGCCTCAGTTACCGTGCTCTGGGGAATTCACTTACACTCAAGAGGGTTTAGTTTATGGACCAGGACCCAGTTTCCGGCCGCCCAGTTGGCTCAGGGGTAAAGAATCTGCCTGCCAGTGCAGGAGACACAGGAGATGTGGGTTCGATCCCTGTAGGGGAAGAGCCCCTGGAGGAGGAAATGGCACCGCACTCCAGTACTCTTGCCTGGAGAATCCCATGGACAGAGGAGCCTGGAGGGCTGCAGTCCCTGGGGTTGCAGAGAGCGCCTGAGCAAATGGGCACCCGGTTTCCGCTTGGCTAGAGAAGCAAGCCTCTGCCCGGGCTACATATGTATGCCTCCGTACAGTGGTCACAGATTTGGAGCTAGAAAAGTTAGAACCGAATGCCCTTGAGTACTTCCAATAAGCCTGCAGAAATATCCATATACTTCTCTTCAAACTATTTCAGGGCTAGTTCATCAGAATCAGAAAACTCACTCACCCTGTTTTGAAGACATGCTGACAATTTCTTATTTCTTCTTTTGGCTGTAATAGATCCTGATGGAATCTCACTTTCCTTCAATGGGAATACAAGTAAGGTGAATATAGATAATTCTACATTTAGGCATTCCTATATCTCTAAACACCTAGTCATTGTCATTTACTTTTTTTACCACCTTCATCTTCATTTTTATTATAGCAAAAAGAAAAAATGAAATAGCTAAAAGAGTCAAAAGAGTGAAATTACATTGCATTCATATGACAAAATATTTTGTAGCCATCACAATTATATTTTCAAACAGTTTTAATAACATAAGAAATTCTTATGCCATAATGTTAAGAGGAAAAGCCATGACAAATGTTCAATATGATCTCAACTATGTACAAATATAAAGAGGAATATACACCAACTGACCTACTGACAGTAGTTATATCTAGTAGGTAGGTTTTATGAATTATTTCTTTCTTTCCACTCTTCTACATGTTTTGAGTTTTCAAAAATGAGTACGTTTTTACTCATTTAACAAAATTTTATTAAGAATCTACCAAGTCCCAAAGGCAAGGATGAGTAATCATTGCTTTCATATTCAGAAAAATAAGCAACAAATATACATTTATAAGCCAAAAGAAACCAAGTAGTTCCGGAATTTCCATACGCCTGAGATGATCCTGTGTTTGCTATGCTCAAGGAAGTTCTCTTCTCAATTCACGGAGAAACAATGAAAGAAGAAGTGCAAATTTGGGAATTTCAGCTCAACTGAAATTTGCATGCCACCAGCAGGAATTGCTGCTCATAATGATCAGGTAGGAGGACGTGAGCTCCAAGGGTCTGACCAGAGCATTTCACCCATTCCTTTCTTGCTTTACTCTGTTCACCAGTGATTTCTTCCATTTTGGCTTGTACTGAAAGGCCCAGGCAACTCCATAAACTCCCCAGAAGGCTGCTCTCAAGGGCTTGTGCCTGAAAGCTAAACTTGAGTTTCTAAAAAGAAAAAGGCAATTTTTCTGCAAAAGTTGGGCATCTGCTTTGCAGCAGACTGGTTTCACTTCCTCCAAAAAGAGGCAAGAGGGAAGTCCCAGGTCCGCTTTCTTTCTCAGTGTGAACACGTGCTTTCTGACACCAGCTCATTCAGAGCCACACCATGACTCAATGTCTGAGGTTCAGTTCTGTGTGGGCTTGGAGCGGATCCAGGTGTCCCCTATTTCTGCATTTCACCTGTGGTCTGAAATAGAGGCGAACATTTGGCTGTGTTTGGAGCAACCACCCCCTTTCTTAGTTTTAGCAGAAGTCTATGGATGTATCAGGAGTCTGAAATTTGACAGTCAAATAGTCTAAATGGATCAAAGAATTGTGACTTCTAAAGACTCTGGAATAAACCTGGTTCTGGAAAATCGAGGAGGAACTAGTCACAACATGACAGTGTTTTCTTTTCTGAGCAGTTGATGGCTAACCTGGTGTTTTGATCCTTGCTTTGTCAGCTCCTTCTCCTCAGAGACCATTCTTCCCATCAGAACTGTTTGTGTCCTGACCACAAGAATCAAAACACAGTGGTTTCTTGATTCTTTTTCATCTTGTGGGTAAAAACAGGAGACCCATGTGAAATTCTGCAGATTCCCACTAAGTAGACCAGAAAGTAGCAGCTTTGGCCATTTCATTTCTTTCTTTTTTTTTTGGTCATTTCTTTTCTCTATCAACATGCGTCCCTCACATTTTTTTCTAATTCTTTTTATCCTTATCAACTTTCCCTATTTTGCTCTTTTTTTTCTCTC